ACTATTTGGGTTTTGAGCCGCTCAACTTACTAGATTGTGTTTCTCTCACTGACCCATCCAAATACAGCTACAGTTTGAAAGATAAACATTCTGATGAATTCCGTGCAAAGAAGAATCCAGGTTGTGAGAGATGCGCGGGGAAGACATTGAAATTTATAAGAGTATTTAATTTTCTCATTTGGGGGGGGGGGGGGGGGGGGGGGGGGCTTTCGTCATATGAACTTCAATAACTATGAGACAAAATCAAATAGGATTTTGGTTTTATCTTTTTGAAAGATAATTTTAAAAGTTAGATAGGAATACTTGAAAAATAAATTTAATTCACCTCAAAGTTTACCATGCGATTCTTTTTCCTTTCAGTATTTTTTTTATAATTTCACAGAAATATGTATCTTAAAATTAGCGTCAAACACAGAGACAGATGCGCACGAGATTTGCATTCGTATTAGGCCTCCTTAGCTGCTGACCTATCGACCTGCCTCATTTACATTCCGGCAGAATTATCAAGAAATAAATCCACCCAACTTTCAAACAGTTATCACAGAGAAAAATAATTAGAATTAGAAATGGAATCATAATGTAATAACATAATAATAACATAATTTAACATAATTTTGACGTTTAAAACCTTTCATTGAAAGATGACGGTAAATTTATTTTGCCATTTTGAAGTGTAAAACAACATCACAAGGCGGTTATACGTTTCCGTTTCATCTACGATGTCAGATATGGGCGTTATTAAGTAAATGTACCCATTTTTGAATTATATTTTCTTATAAGATCGGTATAACTTGCATGTTAACATGAATAAGTCGCATGTCTTCGTAATTATTTTGCATTTTTACATAATTTATCTTGCATGTAGGGAGCAGAAATATGCCACCATAATAAAAAAAAACTTCCACGTACACACGTTACCTTTCTCCATTTCTATTTCTTAATAGAATATCATAGTGATTTGGTCCATGATATATTTGCAAATACTTACTTTTCAAAATATGTATCCTTAAAGCTATATGTTCCAACTATCCGCATTGTCGCCACGTATGAAATCGGGGACTCGAACGTGGAAAAATAATAGTGATCGTATCTAACAACAACAAATCTTGTGTTCACTCTTCGCTCTCGTGTTGATCGTGAAATCTCTTTTGATTGTCAAAATTATAATCGTTCTCATCGCATCAGACCGTATTATATTGCATCGTAACTAACGTCAGCTGCATCGTACGTAAACGGATCTAATCTGGCTTTCATATCGTGATGACACCGAAGCTGTGCTGAACCAAGTTATAATTATTTGTCATTAAAACTTATTTTATAGTCTCTTTTATTTCTTAATTCTTTTTTTTTTTTTTAGAAATTAGGACCATACAAATTAGCGCGTGCTCGCAAGGAAGAAGGTTACCACGCAATTCATTTTCTTCTCATTCTCATCTTCATACAATTTCTGCTTTCTCTCTTTTTCAAGACGCCTCAGTAAAACATTATTCCTGTTCAAAAATCCTAGCCACCCACGAAACACAACCACAGAAATCGTCAATTTTCAATATCTCGGTGAACTCAATTTTCTTTTGGCGTATGATCTCTACAGACAAAGTATTCCACCACTTGATCTGTTCAAAAGACCAACTCTTCTACCCTGCGTGTATACAACGCAAGTACATGAAAGAGTTTGGCGCAAGACAAGGCAATTGTGTAAACAAAAAAAAAATGCAAACTAAGATTATCAGGTAGCACAGGTAGCTGGCCTATCAAAAGCTATAATTGTTTTTTAATAATTGACAGGCGGTAAAGATTGATCTTGAATCAGGTAGATTTTGGTGGCTTTCACATAATATTGGGTGTTTGAATCGTGTTTAAGATGCACACCTAGCTAGAACTAATGCTGTTCATGAGTTTTTTGGGACAACTCTTAAAGTTGTGTTTTGTGTTTTATTTGAACCAGAGCATTACATCTAATAGGGTTACAAAATATGTACATAAATATTTAAACATAAGATTTGCACATGATAAATGTAATACATGCTCTGCAAACCAAGCTGCGTGTTGAAGTTAAGGTTCTTTGATTTTTATGAATATTAAAAGAAATCACTCACAGGTATACCCTTTAAAGCTTTTGCTAACTCCGAGCACTGTTTTTTTTTCAGAGTCGAGTTTGATATATAACGTGTATATTATATGAGTAAGGTTGAGTAAAATTATCTTTGTTGAACAATCCTGTGCTCTGCTTCAACTTAAAAAAATTATTTTGAACCTCTTCACAGTTTTCATTTACATGCGATTGACCAGTTAAGAATCATAACAAGCCACGTAGATTTGTGTCGTTACCGGGTAAATGCCTGCAGTATAAACGTGCTTGCAAGCTCTCAGTTGAAACGTACTCATTTTTATATATCGTTAAGTGTGGACTTGTCTGGTTAATCTAGTTATAGTGTTTTAATGCTTATGTTTTATAAATAAAAAATTGTATTTGTAGTTGATTTTGAATCGTGAACATATAATTCGTCTTCGTCATTAAAAGAAAAATATCATATATCAAGAGTATTCTTTTAATAGCATCTAATCGAAATATCTCCTCCCATTTCCTTGTAAAAGAGAAACCGTAGTCTTTTGGGGGAAAATGTTCCTGCATTTTTTTTACTGTGATGGGTGTTAAAAATTGGCTTGAATTTTTTATGTTACATTATTCCATTATGAATACAACATGCTTGAATAATAAATATTTTGTTATACACAATGAAATAAAAAAAAATACTCTTTGCTTATATCCTACCAGTATACTAAGAGTGTAAAAAGGGACCACGCTACTATATTGTTGATGCCCTGGCATACCCAACAAACCACTAATACACATTGGTTCCTGAGATGTACTAAACATCACCTGCATGTGGTATTTTCATATGATGGTTGTCCGGTATAGTCGTGGACAAATTCTCTAGAATGAAAAATAATCATTTTTACACAAACAATTTCAAAGAGAGTTATTAATTTTGCAAAGTTTTACAATAATCTGAAGTTTTTGGTCTAAGTCGTAGTTCTTCTGTTAAAAGCTTCGTGGGGATCCGGGTTAGAATAGGTCCTCAGTTCCCCTTGCTTTTCGTAAAAGGCGACTAAATGGGGCGGTCCTTCGGATGAGACCGAATAAACCGAGGCCCCATATGACAGCAGGTGTGGCACGATAAGGATCCCTCCCTGATCAAAGGCTGTAAGTGCCGAGCATAGGCCTAAATTTGCAGCCCTTCACCGGCAATGGAGACGTTTCCATATCAGTGAAATATTCTGGAGCGGAACGTTAAACAGTATACAATCAATCTTTTGTAAAACGGGCCCCTGATCTCTAGAATGACATACAACATAGAAATCATATGACATTAAGCTTGATTTTCTCTCAGGATTGAATTTTTAATGAATTGGTTACAGTTTATGCGCAAAACCACTTTTCATCACATAGTTTCATTGTGAGAAGCTGAAAACATTGGCAATTCGAGACAGAGCATTAAGAATAAACGGTAAAGAATCAGAAAACTAGAGTAAAATTAAACGCTTCATTAAAATAGTCGTACTGTAAAATTTTTAAAAATAAAAAAATACTCACTTAAATAAGTAAAATGTACAGCTACCAGTGTCTGTTTTACAGAGACAAAAGCAGGTGGATTTCAATGAACGAAAAAAATATTACGGCTATATAAATGGGTACGGTCTTTGGCGACAAGGACTTACAACAACCAATGTACTGTGTACCAAAATTCGACAAATTATCATTCATGATGTTTTATTGACTTAATGACTTTGCGACAAATACATGTAACACATTTGATAGACATCATTTAAAGATTTGAATTGAATTGGTACATTGTTGTTACAATTCTGATTCGGGGAGGCAGTAATTTTTAATCGAAGTTCATTAATGTTTGGTTAGTTTAAATTTGAATAGAGTAAATTGTCCTAACGGCAAGTTGTTTTAGAAGTAAACCGTCCAAAACATTCTTGTGCACCCGTAACCTAATCTTTGCCCATGGCATCCTTTTTGGCGCCACTGTTTTCTGAGTGGATCTCAGGGTCCACGGAATCAATATCTGTTTTGAAAACTCAGTTGCGCTTATTTATGGTTGTGTAATTTAAATTAATAGTATGATTTAAGACGAATATTCCATTTACAATACCTCAATAATATAAGTATACGGATATTTGTACAACAAATTGATTACCCAGTGATGTTAAAATGAAATTGGAAAATCATGCAAATTAAGAATGCAGATTTGAAAGACAACGAGAAAAAAGAAGGCATATAATGTTTGCAAACTTGAAACAGTTCTGTAAATTGACACTCAAAAAGTCTTGTATGAAATACAATGAGAATATACTGTTCATAATAATGATAATAATAATGATAATAATAATGAATTTAAAAAAAATGTTAAATTGATATCTAATGAATACCAAAATAGAGCCTCATATATATAGTCCGTAAATGGATTGTAATGAACTTCTTTTTTCGGAGAATTAAGACAACATACCAAAACAAAATGTTTTCTAAAGTATCTTTTTTTTTTTTGCTTGTTTAACAATTCTCAACGAAATTTTCATCCATATTGTGTCGTCATAATTTGCCGGTTGAGGGTTGCAACTTTAGACCTTTACTTGGTACTTACGGCCATTGAACAGTAAGGAATCTTGTTGGTGCTACCACATACTTCGACACGGGGCCTCGATTTAACCGTTTTAATCAAAAAGACTGTTTTCCACGACAAACAGTGGATTCGAAGCCGCAAGGTGAGGATAAAATGCTTACTCCGTGACTCTGCATAAAACGCTCTAACCACTGAACCACGTGGGCTCATTATAAATATGAGAAATCTTTCAGAGTTCAATTAAAATACTTGCAAATCTATTTCCCTTTTCTGATTTCAAGACAATGTATTAAAGCAAGGAATTGATAAAATGCATCAATGACATTTATATTGTGATGATGCATTTCAATATCATACTTTCTTGCTTATCGTTTTTGTACATTTTTCAAAGTAATGTTATGCTGCGAAACAATCCACGTCATGGATTAAATAGACATATCACTTAAACACCTCATTAACGTCTGTAGGTATCATAGCGTTTTAGGATTTCTTCTGTGTCCTGAAAACCATACGCTTTAGAATAATCTAGAACATCCCGACCAGATTTATCCTTAACTTCAATATCTGCACCCAATTCTATTAGTGTTGATATGTTCAAAGGACAAGGACACTGTACTGCATAATGAAGGGGTGTACAACCTGCCAAGTTTTGGCGATTTACATGCTCATCTATTGACAACAAAAAATCTCTCTTGAAATGATTAAAACAATCAAACGTAAAATACATATTTGGAATTAAGGAGCTATAATGCAAGAAAGTATTTCCAATAGCATCTGTGATTGACAACAAGTTCAAATAATCATTCATTGGATATCGGAATCTTTCACCAATGTATCGCATTATCAAATTGCAATCTTTTCTTAAAATCAAAAGTGGCCAAATCTCAAACTTGGAGAGCATGAAGAGGTTTAGATCGAAAGGTAAACATTTCTCTATTTCCTCTCCTTGTTTTATCCAGTTCTGACTACTCGTTTCTCCACGTTCTGGACAGAGACAAGGTATTATACTTTTGTGAAGGTTCCATAGTTCATCGGGAAGTCTTGCAAGAATAATATTGTACATGTCAATATACTTGCCGCACTTTAAAGCTTCTGTAATAATTTTATCATATCCAGAAGAACAATATTTAATTGTAAAATCCGTCAAATAGTAGTCCTTTACATTTCTCATAAACTTACGGACAATGTCATGATTTCCACTATCGAACACCATTTCGAATTCATCAAAATGTAGCCGAGAAATTTTAAACAAAGTCTCTAAAAAACAAATATAACCCCTCTGTAATTTCTTTCGTAGATTTAATGTGATAGCGTCTCCAGACGTGCACCTTTCAAGAAACAAATCAATAATGCTGGCCACTTCACTGTATATCGCGTATAAGAAAGCAGTTTGTCCTCTGTTGTCAACTTCTTTAAATAGTTCGGTCTTATTAAGTAAAGTCCCGACCCAATATGAATTGTTGTCTAGCGTTGCGATGTGTAAGATGGATTGGCCCTTTTTATTTCTGTACTTATTAATCGTACCTCGATATTTGTTCAAAAACTTAAAAATGTCATTTGTATTTATAAAACATTGTAACAAATACCTTAAATTGTTTTCATACAGATGAGCTCCATTTTCAAACAATACATCACTAATGTCATAGTGATGACATTTTATTGCCATGGTAACAGCATTTACACCTTCACTTATTTCTATCTCATAATCAGCCCCAAACCTCAATAATATCTCCACGATTTCATTATAATTTTGGCAACAACAGAGTAACAATGGTGTAAAACCATCATTATCCCTTGCATTAACATTTGCCTCATTATATAGCAGAAAATAAATAACATCTTGACGTGTATTCTTTATTGCGATATGCAATGGAGTAGACCCAGTCTTGTCTGGAATATTAATCTTTGCACCATATTTTACTAGTGTTGACACTACCTCCAAATTTCCTATAACGCAAGCTAAATGAAGGGGACTGGAACCATGCACATCTGTAGCGTTGACGCGACCTCCATGCTCTATTAGCAATTGCACTGGAAAGAAATGGCATTTAAAGCAAGCTATATGTAAAGGAGTGAAGTCATCTTTGTCGGATGCATTTACATTTACTTTATTACGAAGGAATTCTTTGACGATTTCGGGAAAATTTCCGGAACAGGCTGTATGTAAGGGTGTTTGCCCATTGATGTCTGCCGTGTTAAGATCGATCTTATTTTCAATAAGAATATCTGTTATTCTTTTAAGCTTATTTAAAGCTTCTTGATTAGTTGAATCCTGAAATATATTATTTCTTCCTTCGTGTTCAAGTTCCATTTCCTCTTCTTTCGAAAAGTACCAATCAAAATCTGTTAAGGCATAATGAAGAGCTGTTCTCCCTTTATCATCAATTGCCATTATTTCTGCTCTGTTTTGTAGAAGAATTGATAAACATTTTAGCGATAAATGCTTTGCTGAAAATGAAGAGGTGTTTTTTTATCCTTTGATTGAATATTTGCAACCACCCCTTTACGAAAAGATATGTTACAAGATCTGCATTGTTCTGTGCACAGCTAATGTGGAGAGCTGTAAGACCTTGAGTATTCTTCCAATTTATCTCCGCTCCATACTCCAAAAGTATTGAAATAATACCTTTATTTCCTTTCACGCAAGCTTTCAGCATCCCATCCTGTAATTGTTGCCTGTTTATTCCCTTCTCAATTAACAATCTAACGATAGCACAATTTCCATAAAAGCAGGCCAGAGAAAAAGGAGTATCACCTCTTCTAGAAACTATATTGATATCACAATTTCTTTCAGTAAGGAATTCGACAGTCTTTATGTTCCAATCAGATATAGATTTATGTATTGGTGTCAATCCTTGGGAGTCTTGCAAATTAATGTCTGCACCATTACACAAAAGTTGGTCAGCAATTTCTATGAAATCATTCCTGCAGGCGAGGGAAAGTGGCGTTTCCTCATCTGTATCTCTTGAATTAACTTTAGCCCCATTGGAAAGCAATATTTTTATAACTTCTAAATGTCCTCTTTGACAAGCTTCATGAAGAGGTGAAATTCCATTTTCATTTTGATAGTTAACAGATGCCCCCTGTTGAAGTAAATAACGAACAATACTGCAATGCCCATGCAAACTGGTCACCATTAATGGGGAAACCGTTTCTTCAAAGAGTTGATATTCAGAAATGAGGTCCTTTTGTGAGCAAACTTTTTTTTGGATAAGATATTCCAATATTTCCAGCTTACCAGTAACACAAACAAGTAGAGGGATTCGAACTTGTGTAACTGGACAGTACAATTTATGACTCAAATCTGTTAGGTGTATGCCGCAAAACAAACAGTGAGTATCATACGTTATTCCAAAATTCATGAATTCCTCCAAGCTATCAAAAGTCTCACTATAATATTGGAGACACATTTGCACAATCTCAATATTTTCACTTAGAATCGCTAAATGTAGCGTGCTTGCTCGTTGGGAAAATAGAGTTTCAAACAAAACATCATTTCGTGTTTCAAAAAGTTTTTCTAAAAATGCTGCCCAGTTGTAAGCTATTGTCAAATGAAGAAACTTTACTTGGCTATTTTCCAATAAATCTTCCCTTGAAAATGAGGCATATGCTTCAGTAATAATTGATGGTATATTAAGATTTGTTTTTAAAAGCGTTTCTTCTAAAATATGTCCATCTACTAATGAGTCAAATAGACAAGTTTCTATTAGAGCATTTGGCATGCATGGGTTCTTAAATATATTTCTGAAATTCCCTTGACTGATATCATTCTGTATTCTTTTAGAGTAGAATTTCATCCACTTCTTGTCTAATTCTAATAGAGTTTTGTCTTCCTTGAAATCAAAATCTTTCTGTAGTCTCCCTTGTGGTCTAAGTCTGTTTTGAAATATTTCAGTACATGAGTGAAGAATCAGTGTTTCAGGACATCGGTTTCCGAAATGCCACACAACGACTTCCAAAAATTTTGAATGTATGAGCGCAAATGTACAACCCACCTTTTTAACATATTTACCATTCATCCTTTCCAGTGCTGAGAGTAAATTTGAGGAATCAATCTGCCTATCACAAGCATTTAAAATTTCTTGAAGATGTTCATCAGCAACATTTCTCTTAATACCCATTACATATGAATTCACCCTTTTCTCTGCAAGGGCACAACAAACTAAAGCGCAGTATTCATGAATGGCTTCTGACCTAGGATCATCAACCATTACGTTAAGCTTAGAGACTAACTCAATGAAAGGATTCTCGAAAAAGGCTTCCATGCATGCTGAATCAGTAAATGCATTAGCATATATTTTACAAAGGTATGGAAAGCAATCGAAATTCTTTTCTATTACCAATTGAGGTAAATGAACTTCGTGTTGAACGTGCACAGACAATATTTGCTCTTTCTCGAATACAGTTAACTTATTTTCGTGATTTTCTAAATTGATAATGAAATTGGAGAAAATTTTTATTAAACGAAACGGTCGAGTACGACTTACGACAAAACGACATGAAACTAAAAGTTTTGATTTAACTTGATCTTCCTTTTGTTGAAAATTCAAACATGTTTCGATGTCTTTTGAATACTTAACCCATGCACTAGCTGCTTGTTCGTCAACAATAAATTCTCCACAAGGATCATCAATCACAAAGACTTGTGGATTTTTTCGGTCGTGATAGCTTTTAATTTCATCGGGATGGTCAATAGGAATGATAGAAAATCCCTGTTTTCCCATTTTTAAGGCGATGTGATGAATGATGGCTGATTTTCCCGACCCTGGATGACCAACAACTACAACGCATGGATTGTCATTTACAAAGTTTTCAACAGCTGTGGACGCCCTTATTTCTACAAAAAGTTCATCTTCTTTTTCCCAGGATACTAGTTTTTCTTCAATCAATTCTACATATGATTAGAAAAGCAAAATACAACTCTCATTACCTCTTCATATTTCAATTTTGCATGATAATAAACTATTAAAAATATTGACATTTGCCCACTATATGTATATTACTCTTTTTAGTTCTAAATATCATTAACTGAAAGTTTAACTAATTACATAATTAGTAAATAAATTAATAACTGATTATCAAAGTAAGAATTAAAGCAAAGTTATAATTTACCATTATTACTTTTATAGAGGGAAAAATATTTCAGCATTTTTTTTTATTCTTAAACAAAGATCACCTCTAACATTAGGAGGGATTGTTTCTAACTGCTCCATTTTCAGATGTTTAATTTCGAGAAGAAGCTCCAGAAGAAGTTCTTTCTCAGATTCATCCATTGGAGAAAATCGCAAAGCTTTGGTTTCATTCAGTAATGCAGAACCTCCAAGCCTTCCAATAGCCTGAAAAGATTTGATTTTCAGAGTGGTTAAAAACACAGGTAATTTGTTTTTGAAAATAAATTTGTTGTGAAGATCTTGGTACAGTCATGTCTATAAAACAATAAATGTCATGTCTGTTAAAATATAAAAGATTCGGTCAAGATTTAAATATATTAAAAAGAAAGTCAATTTTAAGGCCAAGGACAAATCAATGATACATTCACATTGTCACAGGCACTGCACACACGGATTATCAAAGTTGTTAAAAAATGTGTCATCAATCCACCTTTTTAAATGTAAGTTAACATGTTTTTTCTCTGTTATCAATATTTTTTAAAATTCTTTTATGTTGCTTAAAATAATTTTCCTACCTCCTCAACATGTGTCCAGCTAGTATTAAAATCATTTGCGTCCATCCTTGCATTTGCTGAGTGGGCAACTTCGTTTCTGTAGAACTTGATTCTTGCTAAGTCAGCCCCAGTACTGACATCTGATGGATTGGGTAGAATATCGAATCCTCCTGCTGGTGCTAGTGTAGAGGGATTCATGTTTCGTAAAAGGCAGATTAACAGTGTAACATCGAAATCCTTTGACATAGGATTGTTAACTGAAACAATTGAAAATGAAATTTGAAAATGTTTAGGTAAGAGAAAATGTGAGATATTTAATAAATCTTTTATCATTAAGTTTCAAAATGACTTTGAAAGTGCAAATTTGCAATCATTTCCTGTAAAAGAAAATTTGTAATTGTAATTGCCAAATAAATGCAGAGTACATATCTTTTGATACACCTTCAGACCACAGTCCCTCGATTTATCTGCTCAAGAACTAAATACATATTTTTAGAATAAATAATTAATCCTAAATGTTATTTTTGATTTAGTGAAGTTGTAAGATATTGACAGGAATATGTTAAAACACTTTTTGAATACTATCTTGAACATACCTTTGAAAAGTTTGTCCCACTGGACCTGATTTATTACTTTTCTAGCTTTCAAGCTGAACAGCAGAGTTTTTTGTGTTGCTAGGTCAGTGACAAGGTTAATTGGAGGATGAACTGTATCAAAATGGATCCTTATGGCCTTTGGTGCTCTCCTCAAGACTAGATTGACAAATCGTAGAAAGTTAGTTTCTTCCGGTGACACAGTGGGCGTGGATCCTGTGGCAGGGGCTCCTCTACACGGAGTCGCAGTAGGAGTAGATGACGCCATGATGAAGTGATACTTAGGTTGATGTTGTTTAATAACTGTTCTCACTTTTTTATAATTATGTAGCTGAGGAATGCCCTGATAGATATATCACAGTTACTGGTATCTAAATCTTAACTTATACGGATTATGCAATTCATAACCTTATCAAAATTTGTTTAATATGTATTTTCAAACTGAGTGAAGTTTCTTTTGTATAACAAAAATCATTTTCCACTTTTGCATGATGTCTAAATTTGGATATATTTACATTTTAAACCACTGTCACGTGTTCCTTTCCTTAAATAATTGTTGTATTGAAAAGACAATCTGTGTCCAAAATTTTTAAATCACAAACCGTTGAAAAGAGTTTTTAAATACCTCATTTCCTTCTCCTTTAGGTTTTTTTTTAAATTTTGAATGCGTGATTTAAAGGCCTCCGTATATTACAATAATAGCATTTAAAAACAAGGTCAAGGTAAACAGCAGTCCTCTGGTATGATAAAAATAAATAAATAACATGCAAAAACATCAATTAAGTTGATTTTTAAGGAACTTAAAAAATTTTGAAAATTTTAACATTGCTTAATAATGTTAAAACTAAAATTAAAATCCATAACAGACCTGTCAATGACTGTCATGCTTCAAATAAATACATCTTGCATTAAAATATCTCTCTTGTAAAAATAGCATTTATATCATTATTTTGCAATAAAATTTATGTAGAGATTTTTTATAACAATTCTTTAAAAAAAAAAGAACGAATCTATGTTTAATAGTAAATTTGACCTACCTGAGGATATAGAAATATCTTGTTGCATTTCTCAATTAATTTCGACAAGGTAGATTGATTATACCACACAGAACAATATCTAATGGAGAGCCATTAAGCAAGTCTCTTGCTAATTGATTTCCTGATAATGCATTTTAAATTATGTATGAAATGCAGTTGAGCATATCAATAGCTAGCACAAAACAAACTGTTATATTTAAAAGCATAAATAATTCAAATTATTTTAATGAACACACTTTTAACAGTATGCGCAATAATTTTGCCGTCATCATGCATTGTCACTATACAAGGTCAAATTCTCGGTTTAATGACTTTCGCTTCAGACACTTCTACGACCTATCAATGAATGTCATGCTTCATGGTCTCGCCACCCAGTCCATATAATTTTCTCTTTTTTTCAAGATTTTTGTATTCTAATTTAAAAAAAATATATTGAATTTTATAAAGTCAAACACGAAAAAAAAAACAATTATATGATGAAATGTGACCGAAACATAGAGAAGACAGTCTTAAAACAAATACGAAGAAATAATAATTTCATTTAGGTTGGCAATGGTTGCCAAGGTTTTTATACCACATAGAGCTTTCGAATTTACACTTTGTAAGTATAAATAAATTTGATACCATCTTTAAAAAAAATCACATTTTCTTCTAACTGATGATCAATTGCAAAGGTGTTGGTGTAGTACTAATTTTCCTTTTTTAAAAATTCAGATGAAATATTTATTTTGAGCGTTGCTATGGAAATAAGCAGAAAATATTTGCTTGAAAATATTTTGTTCCCTTTGATACATACCCTTAAATGTAGATTACCAAAACTTTTATGATTGATATTTATCAACAGCTAATGTGACTATAAATTTTGACTATTTGACTATTGAACATTTTCCCTTTTTAAGGACGTTCGATCCTGTGTTTTGAGTCGATTTTGGTCTGGACCTTTATTTCTAAAATCATGCACCAATCTTAAGTTTTAACATTTAATCTGAATTTTACAGGGCAAATTGAACTATATCCAATAAAAAAACTGTGATTATATTCCATTCAGGTAGAATTAAGCTAGGAACTATATTTTGTGGCGGAAGGTTTATCAGAAGAATATGATCAAGTTTTCCATTTTGATTTTAGATTCCTATTTTTCCATGCTGGTTGCACACAAAGTATATTCATGGCGGGGCATAAATATTGCTAAAGAAAGTGTCGATTTTGTGTTAAAATTGGCTCAATTTTTTCCTGGACTTTCAGAATATATTTATAACTATATTTATCACAATTTGTTGAAAGACTCAATAATAATTAATTTAATAGATATTTCAAAACCATATGTTTTCTTCATCAACTTTTATTAACATATGATATTCTACTTTAATTCTACCAGATAAGTACTATTAAAGTTATCTGTTAAAACTATTTAAGTTGAGTCATATTATACTCGATAATTTGGCCAAGAATTAGAGTCATTCCTTAAATGTACTGTTTTAAAGATAGGATCAGATTTAAACACACAGAGTGTTACTTTGAAGGCTCTCTGTGGTATAAAAACCTTGGCAACCATTGCCAACCAAAATGAAATATCATATTTTGTTCATGGTATATGTTTCAAGGCTCTTTTTTCTATTATTTGGTCATATTTCATCCTATAATTGCTTTTTATTTTTACGTGTATAAATTTATAAATTTCAATAAATATTTTTTTTTTTACATTTGAATACTTTGTTACCATTTTAACGTATGTAATAGTTGATTTACCAAACATGTTTATCATGCATTTGAGACATCTGACCTTCAACTTTTGGAAACAGTCATTGTCAGTTGTTTGCTTTGTCGCAAATGTTAACTATGGGGCTCTACACATGTCAAAATATGCCCTTTTTTGAACTTTAAGACATGTCATAGTAACTCTCAAACATAGCAACCAATTTTTGCCTCATTTCAGTTTAGGGCATCAATAACTTTTATCATAGAGAGTTTGGAGAAATTCTGAGACTATGCGGGCCACAGCCCCTATATAAAATTTCAAATCATGAGAGAGAATGGCTCCAATTCTTTACGCAGCAAAAACAAATTCACTTTTAACCACTGGTATGTTGTTTCTATGGTAACACAACATAGCAATTAATCCCAATTTTTCTTATGGTGTAGGTGTTGCAAAGTCCTAAGGATGCATATTTGCAAGTCTTGAATTGTCATACTTTTACGGCCATGGCAACCAAGACACATGGCAAAAAAATCTCTGTGATATATGTTTTCTGTGTCAAGTATTGAAAATTGGTAAAGTTTCATCAAAATCGGTGACCATGCGTTGCAACGAAGTTGTTACAGAGAATGGCTCCAAACAATTTTTAATAGTGTGCCAAAAGTGAAGATAATCTTATTTTTTCCTTATATATTTCATTGAAAACAATATTTTGTAAAATCGCTGGTATGACAACATTTCTTGACAGAATTTAGAAAAATTTTCTTGATAATCCAAGAAGTTGTTGTAGTTAAAAAAACAATAGTTTTTATCTGATAAGTATTGATAATTTAAAAATATTGTAATTAAAGTGTGACATGAATTTTTAAGTCATATACTCACAATGAATTATAATTATAATCAACATTGATCTTGAATTTTAGAACTGATGTTTAGTGATGAACTATATTTTACTAAATAATAAACTTGTAATGATCATTTAAAGAAAGATAACTGCACATTTTCTGGTTTAAGTACTGAAATAAATAGTTAGATTGGACAAAAATTGACCATTTACCTATGATTTTATAAAATGTTGTTTTCAATGAAATATAAAGAGAAAAAATAAAATTATCTTCACTTTTGGCACGTGACTGTAGTTTAATATTCTAATATCGCATATATCAAATTCTTTTATACTTGAAATTTAAGATTCTAGAAAATCTCTAAAATGACAAGAAGTGTGGTCAAGTTCAGAAATTTCAAGACACAGTTGAGAAATACGTGTAATTTATGCGTATTATAAAAATAAATTATGAATTGTTTAATCTCATAAATCTGAGGTGAGGTAAACGCAAAATATGTAATAATGAGACATGGCATAAAATCATGTTTCAGTTTTTACCCTTCCACCATCAGCAAATAATTAATTAAGAAATTAATGATAAACCCCTTTAATTAATGATATTAAGTAAATTAAGTCAAGGTCACAGAGATGGTCAAGGCATGAAACTTATGCCATGGTTGAATAGTTTTTATCATAGACATATAAAAAAACAAAATGTTGAACAATTATTACTTTATTGCAAAATAAAATGATACAAAAATATATGTTATCTTTTTTTCATACAAAATATGAAGAACACAGTTATCTATCCGTCATAATATTAATAAAGTAATTTCAACACGATTTCAACATGATTTTTTGCATATAATTCAAAAGTCAAATCTTTGTTTTATACATGATTCGTCAATACTGTACTTCTAAAGAATTATTTTTACAAACATTTCCTTTATGCACCTTTAATGGAACGTTCAATTTGAGAAAATTCCAGTTTGTATTAACATTATTGAATGCAAGATATTATACAACTGCATCAGGAGAAAATAGCGCTCGTCCAAATTTTAGGATAAATTAAGCATCAATAAGCTAAGGAAACCATTACATGTTAAAGTTCACAAATTTATCCAACAGATTGGTCGTGAAATGAAATAAAACTATTATACTTGTAAGCAAGTTATCGCAATAATTTTCTATCGTAAAGCAACGCAAGAATCCATTATCCAGCATTTTCTTTCGATTTACCATACTCGAAATGTGTAAGATAACTGTGCTGAACTAAATCATAATTATTTGCCATTAAAACTTACTTTTTAATTTAATAGTCTTTTTTTTACTTCTAAATTCTTTTTTTTTTTAAATTAAAAATTAGGACCATACAAATTAGTGAGTGCGAAAAAAGTAAAACAAGACCTGCTGACTGTATTGAAACTTTTCAAAGACTTGTGAAAAATGCATTATATTTATTTAATTAAAATATATCAAGTTTTATATTTCAAGTTCTCTTATCCATTCAATTTCTGTTTTCTCTCTTTTTCAAGACCCCTTAATGAAATTTTATTCCTCTTCAAAAACCTAGCCACCCAGTTCACATTTCCAGTGAAATTGTCAATTTTCAACATCTCTGCAAACTCAATTGCCTTTTGGCGTATGATTTCTATGGACAATTCACAACCCCACTCGATCTGTTCAAAAGACCAACTCTTTAACAAAGCATCGAGATCAGGCCAAGCACATCGACCTGGTTGAAGCTTCCTAAATTTCTTTTTACAACTTTTTTCAAGATTATTTTTCTGTTTTCTCCAGTAACGAATAAGTTTTTCGCTTACACCGTACTTTCGCTGGGCGGCCATATTATTTGTCTGCGTGGCATAGTTCGCCACCTCCAGTTTAAATTCAGAGGTGTAACTTCTTCTTTGTTCTGACCTGAAGTTCGATATGGCATTGTCTATCTCCTCATCTGTCATCAGAGACTTAAAAAGAAAAAAAATGACACATCAAGAGAGAATGACAATAAAATAGGAATACAGTAGTAGCTGCGCCATCTTTTTAAAAAAAAATTGTTGGGCTGCCCTCTCCTTACCGACTGACTAAAAAATGGGCCCATTCATTACTTTTTTTTTTAACAATCCAGGACAGGATTTTTTTTTTTCATTCTCTTACCCTTCAACAAGTCTTTTAAAACTTTCTGGGCTAAAAAAAAAAAATTCCAACCTACCTACCAACCAAATAATTTTATCCTGGGAGAGGGCAACAAATCATTATCTTAAAGATGGCCCCAAATACTATGGAGGATGTTGCTTTAACATGTGTCAGGATACTCTGTAATGTTTGTGTCAGGATACTCTGTAATGTTTGCGTTTACATGTGACATGATACTCTGTGATGTTGCTTTTACATGTGACATGATACTCTGTAATGTTTGCGTTTACATGTGACATGATACTCTGTAATGTTTGCGTTTACATGTGACATGATACTCTGTGATGTTTACGTTTACATGTGACATGATACTCTGTAATGTTTGCATTTACATGTGACATGATACTCTGTAATGTTTGTGTTTACATGTGACATGATACTCTGTGATGTTGCTTTTTACATGTGACATGATACTCTGTGATGTTTGTGTTTACATGTGACATGATGCTCTGTGATGTTGCTTTTATGTGACATGATACTCTGTGATGTTGCATTTACATGTGACATGATACTCTGTGATGTTGCTTTTTACATGTGACATGATACTCTGTGATGTTTGTGTTTACATGTGACATGATGCTCTGTATATGTGACATGATTACAGATTATCTTTAATGTTTGCACATAAAATCTGTGATTTTGACATACATGTGATTATCTGTGTCACATGTAAATTCAACATTACAGAGTATCATGTCACATGTAAACGTAAACATCACAGAGTATCATGTCACAGGTAAACGCAAACATTACAGAGTATCATGTCACATGTAAATGCAAACATTACAGAGTATCTTGTCTAGTTTATCTTATGATGTGCTACATGTATCTCTGTGAACTGATCTAGTTTTTACTTTAGAGCTAGATGGGTTATTATTGGAGTTTTATGAAGAGGCTTACTTTTACTTTTGACAGCTGACTTTTACATTTAGTAACTGGAGTTGGTCTATGTATAAACTGTAGAAGTCAGTCGTCGATTGTAAAAGTAAGCCTCTTCATAAAACTCCATTATGCTGTGTTGCTGCTTTCACAAAATTTAATACATACCGTAAATCTGGAAATTTTTATGTTCCATTTTATTTTGCGAATTCCGGTAAAAAGGCTGTCTATTAACTTTAAAATTTCAAAATTTTGCAAATGACCACTGCTTTTTCTACATTTTTTTATTAGTAATCTATCTTTAAGAAAAATATTTTTGCGAATGCAATGAACTCGCAAATTTGCTAAAAATTTATCTACAGCAAAAATTTCCAGATTTACAGTAGATATTAGAAGTCTTGATTTAAAAAGGTCAACTATAAACAAGAGGCCGATGGGCCACATCCCTTACCTGAAAAACTTTGGATATGCAGTTCTTTACCAGATATCCCCATTGTAATATCTATTGTGGACCTGCCCTACCCCTGGGGGTCATGGTTTGAACAATTTAGAATCTACACTACCCCAGGATGATTCCACATCAAGTTTCAGCTTTTGTGGCATAGTGGTTTTTGAGAAGAAGATTTGTTAATGACCCCACCCTACTTTTGTCTTCTCTTGATTATCTCCCCTTGGAAGAGGACTTATTAGCCCTTTATTTTCACAATTTAAATTCCCCTATACCCAATAATACTTTGTAGTAAGTCTGGTCAAAATTGGCCCAGTGGTTCTTGAAAAGAAGTTGAAAATGTGAAAAGTTTACTGACTGATGGACAGCTAGACAGACGGACGGACAACGTACAAGAAGTGATCAAAAAAAGCTCATTTGAGCTTTCAGCTCAGGTGGGCTAGAAATGTTTGTTTGTCCATCTTCGACTATAGAAAAAAAATTGGAGGGGTAGGTAGGTGGTATATAGGGTTTTTCTTTCAGAAAATTTCAGCATCAATCCTGAATTTTCAGAATCTGTTTTCTGGAATGCTTTAAAAAAGGTTCCAAGGAGGCTTAAAAAACAATTTAGAGATGAACCATTTTAAGTCAGTCTTTTGGGAGAGCATAATTTAACAGTTTTTTTACAGACGGCCATATTTGTTGTTCTGTGTTGTTTACCTGTGACCCGGATGTGTGAACATCATTTGCTGAGGATCCTTTAATGGAAAAAAGAGTGTCCTTTTCTTCCCTCCATTTCCAAACCAATTCCTTGTCAATATGTAATCTAAGAGCAGTTTGGTTGTTGCCGTGTTTTTCAGCATACAAGATTATTTTTCGTTTGAAATCTTCGGTATAAGGCCCATCCATTGAAGGTCGTGCAGAATCTTCCTGTTCATTTTCATAATCATCGTCATCATCATCATGGTCTTATCAAAAGCTTCATCATCTTCCTCTGAATCCATTAAGTCATCAGGATCTGAAGACAAATCAGTGTCCTAGGCAGAAAGATCAAGAAGGTTTTAGTATATGCTGTTTTAAAAAGGCTGGGTGGTCGTGACCATTTTTAGACTATTTTGATCTCATTAGAAAAAAGCTCCATATAAAGATATAATAAAATGATCAAATTTTAAAGCTAAAATTTAAGAAATTTTTCTTTGCCAAATGATAGTTGACAGCTTAAGATATCTTACCCAAAATTTAAGTTAAATCTGGTGGTTAATTAAAAACTAATTAGTTGACCCTCTAGCTTCCTTATATTTCTCTAAGCTGAAGTTAGTCATATTACAGCAGACACTAGGACAGAATATAAATTTCTGTTGTGAGTAATACTGTAGATTCCTTACTTTTCATGAGTACTCATTATCGTGAATGGGCCCTTTAACGTCAATTAGCGAGGAAAATAATTCGTAAATGGAGATTTCAGTACCATAAAAATAAAAGTGAGTATATTGCATGAGTGGTGCTTCTTGCAAAATTATGTGATAATTTTAATATCTGAAAGTGTGGAATATTAATTTGGCTTTGTCTGCCTTTCTGTCCACCTGTAACACTTCCTGTCTGCATGATATCTTATGCCTTTGAGCTTTTGCAATTAAATTTTATACCCTAACTCCTTATGGCCCAAAGGGAAGACCCCTCAACACCCCTAGTCTATTACAACATGTACAATGAGATCTACAACCCTTCACTTTGAAATAAATGAAATATAAAATGCTCATAGGTATACAGTACTTGTCAGAGGGTAATCAACTTCAGACTATCCCACACACATAGGACAAGCACATCTCTCTCTCTGACTCATACACAGGACACTCATATGCAGGACTTACTTTTTTCTTTTTCTCTGTTTCCTCCCAGTTGGGATCATTATCACTGTCATCGTTCATGTCAGCAATGTCTGACTCATTCTCCTCCTCAGTTAACTTCTGTATAATCTTGTTGGTGGTCCTTTTACGTGTACTGTATCTTGGAGTCACTGGCTCTTCAGGCACATTTGATGAAGGTGTAGATTTTCCCTTCAATTTTGATTTGGACTTTGATGTGGAACTTAAGCCACTAGTGGTTGAGGTTTGTTTCTTTGGAGTCTTTGTTATCTTAGAAGATACAGTCCCCATCGTTTCATTACTAGAACTACACATACTTGAAACATTGGTGGATGCTGCAGATACTTTTGGCACTTCTGATGGTATGAAAGCTTTCAATGTTTTGTTCTCCTTATCTTTAGACATAGTGCTGGAAATAGCTGGTGAGGTTGATGACGATGATAAACTCTGTGCAATGGAAGACATTCCAGCATTCAAAGATGCTGAATCTAATGACATGCTAGTCTGTGAATGTGTTGCAAGTCCAACAATACCTGTTTCACTCTCATTTGCTCCACTATTATTTTGAACACTAGATACAACTGTTGATGGTTTTAGAGATGTCATACTGGTATTAACTTCTGATGGAGCCATCAAAATTTCTCCAGACTTTGGTTCCTCTGCTTGGCTTTTAGTTGGAGTAGAAGAAATTTGTGTTGGAGTCTGACATAGATCCAATAGGTTCCTCACCATTTCCTGAGCTGATCCAGTAAACTGTGGAACAACTGAGCCACTACCTTGACCAGAAGTCTGTGGTCCAAGTATATTGAGTGAATGTAAGAAAGCTGTAGCCAACAACTTCTGGGTCTCCAACTGTTTGTCCAGTGTAGTAGCCCCAGCATCACTCTCCTGTGACATCGTCCCTGGAATATTTGAGGCAGACTTTGCACTAGTATCTTTTTCTGATGTTCCTATAAGATTAAGAGTTTCAACCTGCTCAGTCATTTCAGATTTAGGAATATTCATAGAATATGATCCTGAGGTATCTTTTTTAGGATGGATAGCAGAAGCCTCAACACTGGGTTCCACATTCTGACACAGTTGTTGCTCTTTAATCACTGAGTTATTGTTTTCACCACACAGTTCACTGGACACAATGCCCTCGCTGGACTCATCTTCCTGGTCTTCTTCTTCCTCTTGATGGTCTGGTGCTCCAGATATAGAATTTTCTGACTCCGCATTGAGATTTTCCTGTGCTGAGTTTTTCTTCCCATCATATTTTGTTTTTTTCTGTAAATGAAAGCAATGTTTAATATTTTACTTCCGTGGATTATTTTTCTTTTAAGGTTTGAAATATAGTAATTTGAAAGAAGTCATTACTCATTCAATATGAGAAAGTACTTAAGCTTGTCATTGTTCCATATGAGCTGTATTTTACCTTCTTCAGAGCCGGATCCACCAAGTTATGTCTGTCTTTCCACCTGTACAGCCACCCACTGCTGGCAGGAAAATTTGGAATTCCGAATTCCCCTGCCAGCTTTTTTGCCTGGTCCTTTAACATCTGGTTTGTTATCTGTGTGGAATCACAGAGACAGTTAAGCCTTGGTATATGTATCTTAAACTTGATGGTACAAAGAAACAAGAGGCCCAGGGGCCATATTCAGGGACGGACAAAAAAAATAGATATTCTAGGCACTTGTTAATAATACTGTATACAGGGAAATTTTTGCCCCTGTTTTATTTTCACCCCTTTCACCCTACTCTCATTGGATGAATTTAAAATTGGGCAAATTGGAACAATTCAGTGAAATATCTTAAACAAAACTACGAATGGGCGAATTTAAAACAGGCAAAATTGTTTGCAAGTGTGAAAGGGTGACATGCTGCAAAAATAACCCTGTATACAGTAGATGGTTTACAGTAAGAAGTGAAAAAAAACTTTGCCTAGTTAAGGAATACATACCTTATCCCCTGTTCAAAAACATAGGTAATCAAAGATTATGAAGCTCACCTCCACGAATGTTATCAGAGTAAGTAATGCAAATCTCACATCATATTTATTTAATATTTAGAATTTATCCCAACAACAATATTCTTGAAGGTTGTGTTTAACCCCTTACATGGCATTTACACATTTCTACGCTTGTAGCATAAAAAACATGTATAGTATAAACAAATATTCATAACTGTGTCAATACTTCAGATATCAAGAACTTCAAGTGCATAGGAATTGATCTGTTTCCAAAACTTTAACTTGGTCTCTTGGAAAATATAGGTCAGATCCAGCATCTGAAGCAAGTCTGATAGTGTCCATCCCTAGATGCATCATCCATGCAAGTTTGGTTAAAGTGGGGCTTATACTTACTTGGGAATGAAAATGTAGGTCAGATCCAGCATCCGAAGCAAGTCTGGTAGTGTCCATCCCTAGATACATCATCCATGCAAGTTTGGTTTAGGTAGGGCTTATAGTAAATTGGGATTGAAAATGTAAGTCAGATTCAGCATCCGAAGCAAGTCTGGTAGTGTCCATCCCTAGATGCATTATCCATGTAAGTTTGGTTCGGGTAGGTCTTATAGTTACTTGGCAATGAAAATGTAGGTCAGATCCAGCATCCGAAGCATGTCTGGTAGTGTCCATCCATAGATGCATCATCCATGCAAGTTTGGTCCAAGTAAGGCTTATAGTTCCTCTGGAATGGACCTGCTTCAAAAACTTTAACCTGGTCACTCATGTAGAAAATGTAGGTCAGATCCAGCATCCAAAGCAAATCTTGTAGTGTACATCCCTAGATGCATCATCCATTCAAGTTTGGTTCAGGTAGGGCTTACTTGGGAATGGACCTGCTCCAAAAACTTGAACCTGCTCCAAAAATTTTAACCTGGTCACCCATGTAGAAAATGTAGGTCAGATCTAGCATCCGAAGCAAGTCTTGTAGTGTACATCCCAAGATGCATCATCCGTGCAAGTTTAGTTCAGGTAGGCTTATACTTACTTGGGAATGGACCTGCTCCAAAAACTTTAACTTGGGACGCCGACGCTAACGCCGACACCGGCGCCGGGGGTATAGCATAAGCTCATCTCGACTTCGTCGAGGTGAACTTAAAATTGAATATGTTACTTTGAAGCAGTCAGTGAATAATTCCATCACTTTATTCAATGTTTGCCAATTAACAGTGACAAATGAAAAACAACCTTGAACCTTTGACTTGTGTTGCTAATTATTGGTCCAATAAGCTTTGATGACCAAAGGAAAAACCTTTGACCTGACCTGTTTTGCTAATTTCTGGTCGAATAACTTTTTTTGACAGTCACGCAAAAAAAAACCCACTTTAACCTTTAGGGCTGGGACGATACTGAACTTAGCCGATCCGATACATATCATGATACCTTAGGTGCGATACGATACATATCACGATACATTTAAAACCAAATAAAACGAGATAATTTTTTTTAGAACATTTAATTTGGAACATAACAGATTATGAAAATAAACTATTTCAACAGAAACCTGACTCACTGCCATTGGGTTTTGTTGATTTTACATAATCTGGCATGTCTGACGCCATTTTGACGCTTATATTTTGAATTCTGTATCACCAAGAAGTTTGTACTTTATTTCTGATTGTTTAAACGTCTTGATGATACAGACTGAAGTACTCTCAGTTTTGAATTCTAAAGCCCAGACATTTTTTGAAATTTTAAAAAAAGTGCGGTCAGGTATCGTGATACTAAATTAGATGAATCGATCCGTAAATCGTCAAAGTGAATACTGTGATGCATCGGTGCACTTGTGGATCGTCCCACTACTATTAACCTTTGACCTCTTTCTTTAATTCTGGTCCAATTAGCTCTCATATTAACAGTAAGAAAAGAAAAGGTAAAACTTTTAACCTCAATCTGATTAAAATAAGATCTTTGTTACGCTTCAAAATTCTGATGTTTGTACAGCAACCATCAGTTTTGTAGATTCCTAATCCAGTACAATATGATATTAACAGAGACAAAGAAAAAAACATTCAACCTTTAACCCGACCTGTTTGGCTAATTTCTGGTCCAACTAGAACTGTCCAAACGGGACAAAATACCCCCCGCTGGTTTTTTAAGAAGTAAGCTTTTCCATAATAAAGATATGTATCAAACACAAATTACGAAATTTTTCTTCCAGTGACCTTGAACTTCCCAAAATGACTTTGGGTACAGGTCATGACACACTCTTGGGTCATGGGCAATCTTTGTGTGAAATAAGAACCTTCCAAGTTAATCCATAAGAAAGATATGGACCGGACACAAATTATGAAATTTTTCTTCCAGTGACCTTGAACTTCCCAAAATGACCTTGGGTACAGGTGATGACACACTCTTGGGTCATGGGCAATCTTTGTGTGAAATAAGAACCTTCCAAGTTTATCCATAAGAAAGATATGGACCTGACACGAATTATGAAATTTTTATTCCAGTGACCTTGAACTTCCCCAAATGACCTTGAGTCAAGGTCACGACACACCCTTAGGTCATGAGCAATCTTAGTGTGGAGTAGTAGATTCTAATGTCCCTCTCTAAGAAAGATATGGACCGGACACAATTGCACAGCTATACGGACGGACGGACAGACAGACGGACAAGGTGATTCCTATATACCCCCCCAAACTTCGTTTGAGGGGAGTATAATAAGTTTTCATATTAACAGTAAGAAAAGGACAAAAAAGCCGTTATATTATGATCACTTGTTTTGGTAATTTCTAGACCAACAAGCTTGGATATTAACAGACAGAAAAAAAAACTTTAACCTTTGACCTCTGACCTGTTTTTCCGGTTCCTGATCCAGTAGACTTTGATACCAGGCTAACAGTGCAGACTCAACATCCGGGGCCTTTCCCTTCCTGTTCCTTCTGCGATTCAGATCCTCTGAGGTCAGACACTGAGCTCGGATATCCTCCTTACTGTTAGAGATTCTAGAAACTTGGGCTTGTGAAATTCCTAGTAGTCTTGCAATCTTGTTCTGCGAGAGTTTCAGTTCTAGAAGGTCAATGACATGCATTTCGTCCTTCAGGCTCAGGTCATTACGTCTGCGAGTCTGTTAAAAGACCATGATATGCATTTTATTATATATTAAGTTTGTTTATACTCCTCCTACAAAAGAAATGTAAATTTAAATAAAATTTAAATTTGCAGTTTTAAAAAAAAACTTTTATTTCCTTCAGTAGAAAGATACAACAAACAAGGCCAGGCAAAAACTGTGAAATAATTCTATTTCATGGAGGACAATGTTCTGTGCAATCATAAACCACACACAATTTTTTCTTTAAACTTTGGGAAAAAAAATCTCAATTTTTGCTTTTAATTTTAAATTTCTGAGAAGCACGGTATACATTGCTGTCCACAGTCTCATATTTTTCCTGATAATTAAGATCTGATGAATGAATAAAATTAGCAAGCATGAAATTTTATGTTCTCCTTACTATCTTATCTAATCTTCAAGAACTCTCAAAGTAATTAACATTATTATTAAGCCAATGTCTAGAGAACATTTTGTAGGTAGGAAACAGAAAATGAAAATGCATTTAATTGTAGAAAGAAAGCATGGTTGTTCTTGCTTGCCACTGGGTGATACTTTTCAATGCCCACAGACAAAATTACAAGCATTTGCTATAGGTGGTTATTTGCAACTCTGTGGCTGTGTTTATTAAAAAATTCAATTCTTTACACCTTAGATAGCTATCCCATTTACAAGCCTTCTTACCCTGGGATGGTACTCAGGAATTTCCACTGAATTGTTCATTGCTGAGGTTTTCTTTCTTTTCTCAGGCAAATACTCCGAGACTGTCCCTTCACTGCTGCATTTCTCTTTTGTCTGCTCTGCAACCTAAAAATGTAAAAATAAATACATTGATTCTTGAGCCTGAGATAAAGCAATTCTATTTCACATGGGCACAGCAAAAGACAGCATGGAATTTTCTAACAATTTTGTGTTAGATGCCAAGATAAGAAGTTGATAAATACAAATTTAAATTATTGTTTTGGGTGTGATCTGAAGTTTAATTCCCTGAAGATACAAGTATCTTAAATAAATGCATTACCCCCAATCTGAAATAGCTTCCTTCATATCTGTGATAGAATGTGCTTAGAAACTTCTTGATAAAATATTAATGGTAGATTAAGAGTAATGTTCTAATATATTAAGTTTCATGATTTTTTAAAATAATATGTCCAACACTGCTTAGAAAAAGTCATCACAAAGCCGCTAGTACAATGGGTTTGTATGAACTCATCCACACACTCACAAGCATGTTTATACTATATTCCTGGTAACTTTTGGTGGATAATGAGCAATAAGTTAAAATACAAAGAAGAAAACATATTCACTTCAATCTGCATTGTTCCATTCTCTTCCGTGTTATGAGGGTTTGAGTCCTCACTGTGAGACGAGGTCCCATCTCGCTGAGATACTAAGTCATCATTCTGATATCTTGAGTCATTATCTTGAGATACAGCCTCAATTTCAGCCTCTTCAGGAACTACTTCCTCTTCTTCAACTTCCTGTTGAGAAACTTCTTCCTCGTTTGTTGACGTATTCCGAGTTTCTACTTGAGGTTTTTTCTGGTGAAATACATGTATTCAAATAGTAAGAAATGTTTAATTGATTTCTGAAAAATTTTTATAAAATTTTTATAAAATGTATGCCAACTGCATGAAAAATATTTACAAAATAATATCCATTCTTTCTTTAAAAAAACTTGTCAATGAATACAGTGGACCTACGGATATCCGTACACCAGATATCCCGATGCTTCAGTATCTGGACGATTTTTCATCGGAACAGAATTTTTTAACATTATTTGGTCTTGTTTAACCTGTAATTCAGATATCTGGATGCTCGCTTCATATATCTGGACAAATTCACTAAGAACCACAGTGTCTGGATAAATGAGGCTCCACTGTATAATTGCTTAGCATTTTCATTGTATCATAATGTGATTTTAGTCCATGTATTTTTTTTTGGGGGGGGGGGGGGATATGTCTTTACCCTTTGTCTCTTGTCAATCAGAGAGAAAAATAAGTCTACATCTAACTCACCTTCATCGCCGTCGAGGGTATATTGTGCCTTAATTTCCACCTCATAAGCCAACCAGATGAAGGATTAAACAACATTTTACCCAGCTTCCTAGCCTCTAGCTCAGCCTGCTCCATTATTATATAGTTGGGAATGTATTTCCCAGGCCGATAAATGCTTTTAAACCAATTGGTCAGAGCTACCTCCACGTCTGCTGCTTTTCCGGCTCGCAAACGTTTTCTACTGGGATTTAAGTTATTCCCTTGTGCATAGATCTCCTGTTCTCTGGCAGCAATTTGGGAAATTACAGACTGGGCACAACCAACACGTCTGCCCACTTCTGTCTGTGTCCTGCCTTGCTTTAACAGGTCCAGAACTTGCATTTTTTGAGCGAAATTTAGGTCATTCCGGGTTCTCTGAAATTAGGAGAAAGTGGAATACCATAGGTGTTTTGAGTTAAACATGTAATACACTATTGATGGAAACAGAATTTCAAGATGTTTACAATCTACAGTCGAACTTTGATTTCTCAAACCTGATGGGGCTGAGAAAAAACTTTCAATTGAGATATTCCAGGATTCAAGATATCCTGGGAAAAATTCTTAGAGAATATGTGATTGGGACTACCACATCACTTTGACATATCCATTGTGTTTGAGATATGATCTTTCAGAGTTCAACTGTATATTATTTGAAATTCTATGTTTCAAAATTAATATCAATCTCTGCCCTTAAACTGTAAAATGATCAAACACTTTGAACTTAAAATTATTTTGAAAACCATCGAGAAAACTTTTGACTGAAATAACTTAATTCATCAAAGCATTTCTACGAAAGTGTACATGTAGCTCACCCTTGGACAATCCTCGATGGCTTTCACTGAAATACTCTTCTGAGGCCTAACGTAACAGACGATTCCGTTCAGCTCGTTTTTCTCCATCAAATACGAAGTGGTAAATCCACCGGGAGGCTCGGAGATGTTCTCTAAACTAAAAGTTCTTTTCCTTTGGAACAGCTCAAATCCTCCTGCCTTCCTGAGTTGCGGGCATGCGCTGAGGATCGCTTCTCGGAATGTTGCCGGGTTTTCGTCTATGGTAAAAGTCACTACCTTGTTTCCAAGATCTGCTTCATTCAGCTTCTTGACTTCCGCATGCCTTGGAACAACGCGCTGAAATGACATTGATGCTATATATCAAAACATACGGTGAATTTTGGAATCATTTCAATTCGTGGGGGTCAATATTTGTTGTTAAGCAAAATTTTACTTGTTCATTTGGACATACCAAGTAATTTAATTGTGGTTTGCTTTTTATAAGTAGTCAATAAAGCAAATATATTTACAAAAAAAAATCATTCCTAGGAATGCAAAATTGTGGGTAAGGGTGACTCAGGAAATTCATAAACATTGGTCCCTCACAACAATGATGATTCCACAGGTATTTAATTGACTGAAAACTACAATGATGGCATATTTTCTAACATACAAATTTATATACTGTTACTCTGAGATAAACGTTAATTTATATGTTAGAATCATTGGGTTTATGATTACTGTACTTTCTCTCCAGATTTTTGAGTTACTTAACACAGTCAAACAGATTATAAAATATTAATTAATCTATACATGTACCATTGATTTATCCCTTACCTGATTGCAATTTGACAAAAAACAGAATTTCTGAGTCCACATTCTTTCATTTTTAATTTCTTTATTCTAGAAAAAAAAAACATAAACATTATGCATGTGATTAAACATTTAGGGAGCTGTTACACCAAGTTTTGGGTTATCTTTAAAGAATCAAAATAAATATAAACTCAATCAAAAATTTTAAAAGATAACTCAACATGTCTTAGCAAAACAAAGAAAATTTTTGGGTTTTTTTATGCTCTATGTTTGAACATGTACCAGATTATCATCTGTGACCATTACACTCGGACTTAGCACTCGTTCAATCTCTGTGTTCTCTGGTTCCTCAGTTACAATATCATCATCCACTGTAAAAGATACCACAGCTAAAGTATGAACATGAATTTGTCAAGGAGAAATGTCTTTAGGTCATATATCATAATATATCAACCTCTTAGGTATTACCCTGTTCATTCATCTAAAATGTGTATTTAATATTACTTGACGTATTGACTTTCCAAAAGAAATGATATTTATTATTAAAATACATACATTATTTTAGCATGCCTTTCATGATCAGTGTTTGACTAAAGATGTCTTTTTAACTTAAGAATTATAATAGTCTTTAATCAGATGGTAGTTGTCTCCCTTATCGGAGATTCAGAGAACCTTAAACCCTTACCCTCCATCTTTAATGGAATGCTGTCTATCTCTGTCTGTACATGTTCTGTTAGTGATGTACCTGAAGAGAACACTAAATTACAAAAAAATCTCCTGTTCATAGTTTATAGATCAACTACAAGCAGTAAACTTAAAGCAAATACCAGGGATTAATCTAGGTTTTGGGGGGAAACTATACCCTTTCTGGAGAAATTTGGAAAATCAGCTGGGGGTCTGGAGGCTACTCCATATTCAGTTTCTAAACATTTTTATTTTAAATTTCCACTTTTTATAAAGGAAAAAAATTATTTCAGCCTTGTATCATTGTCAAGGGAATTTTTTTAACTCATAAAAAGGGGAAAATGTGGTATTCTGGGGAATTTTTTTTGGTAAGTAACCCTAGATTAATCCCTGATTACATACAATATATTCTAATTTTAACCAAGATTGTGAACTAAAAACATACTTCAGTAATGGTTCAAAACACTCAACACAGCATAACATTTTCACTACTAATACTTTTTTTCTCAAAATATTAGACTCTGCTACTACTACTTTTACAAATACTCAGAAATATAATAGCAGTTTTATCTAGAAATAAATACTCAATATTAAAGAAGCTCTGGCTAACCACTCATTGTAAATAAGAGCATTCTTTTCTAATTAAATAATAATTAATTAAAGTTCATTTACTTACTGGTACATGTAACACAATCTACATCTTTACTGTTCTGTGTTTCTAGGTCAGGCAGTGCCCTACATAACATTGAAAGATTAAGTTTGTGTGTAACAATTAAACTCAAGACTCCTAATTATTATCAGAAATTAATCAATACACATTCACTTGTAACTTCATCATTTAATGACAGCTTTTAAGATATCTAATTTTTTTTTACCCATTTCCTGCTTTTGAAACAGAATTGGTCTGTCTCTCTTTCCTTTTCCTACCATTTTCCTTATCTACTGATGTGTCCGGGAAAGTCTTGTACCTACCAAAATAAAATGAATTTCCTTTCACCAATGTTAGTATACCCCAACTGATTCTATTTCGTCATAATTACTTCCGGAATTATGTGAGATATAGTAGTACGCATGTGCAACCTCAGTTCGTGTCTAAGTTAACGTGGTTAACTATTTTTTCGTTTGACACATTGATAAGATTTTATTAATTACAGAACTCGAGGAGTTCTGTTTTTTACGACTATTATCAACAAAACTCGAGGAGTTTTGTGTTTACGACTACCATAAAGCGGTTCTTCGACTACTTTATGATAAAGTCGTAAAAAATGGCGGAACAGATGATTCAAAAGAAACAATTACGAAGTACTACTTGCTTTGAAGAAGAAGTAGACACAGAAAAGACAGACGGAACATGTAAAAGTAACGATGTTACTAAAAAGAACTCTAAAGTCGAGGTTCAGGGAACAAAGACTAAGAAGCATGGTAGTTCTGTCGGCAGTACGGTAAGCGCTACAAGCACTAGGTCCAGCGGGACGAAAAAACCTGTGAAAGTTGTGGCCGATGTCCACAATAGCGGTAATACACAAAACGATAATCAAATTATGTGTATACTGAATACAATTCTTGAAAATCAGAAAAAACAAGATGAACAGATTGGTACATTGAACAATAAGATCAATATGATAGAAAACGAATTTCAAGAATGTGATGATTATGAAGGTTACGATGATGATCAGACATACGACGAGAGTTGTAATAATGTTCAGCGTACAGATGATAATGTTGAAAATTCAGATAATGCTTCTGGAAAAAGGAAGAGTGATCATTTGGACACAGAAGTTGTTCAAGAAAGTTCAAGTCGTTTTAAGAACATGAGTAAAAGATTTAAAAGCAGAGAAGTGTGTGATGTGAAAATAGATGAGACTTTGGCTACAAATATAACAGATTTGTTTAGAAATGGAATGAATGAAGATCAGTATTCAGATATGATTAAAGATGAAAATAATGCAAGACCAGAAAATTGTGAAGGTCTGAAAGTTGTGAAGACAAACCAACTCGTTTGGGATATTATATCTCAAGAAGCTAAAACAATTGATAGAAAAATGCAAAACATAGAAACTTCTGTTATTAAAGGTTCTATCATTCTGGCCAAAGTTGTGAACAAGTTGGCAGATGTGGAAAATGAATTAGATGATACACAGAAAACGAAGTTGGGAAAAATTATAGATGAATGCAATGACAGCTTGGCTCTATTTGGACATGCAAACAAACAAGTAAATATGACAAGACGTGAGCTTATAAAACCAGAATTAAGATACGAATACTTGCACTTATGTGCACAAACTGTACCTTATATGTCTTGGTTATTTGGTGACGATATTTCAAAAACTGCGAAAGAAATTGAAGATTGCAGCAAGATTGGTCACAAATTGAACAGAGGTGGATCATTCCGAGGGAGAATGAGAGGACGTTTCAGAGGTCCTGGTCGTAGACCTAGAGGACGTGGAAACTATTACAACAACAACACTGCATACAATCCTAACTATCCAAACAGAAGTAGTGGCCAATTCTATCCAAAAAACTTCAAGAAGAGCAATACGACACTGTCACAGCAGAAAAACAAGAATCAATAAAGAATGAGGTTAGTGAGAAAAATGATGAATTTTTTGCAGGTAGATTGAAATATTTTTCCAAAGAATGGGAAAAAATTACATCAGATAAAAATATATTACAGATAGTTGAAAATTGCAAAATAGAATTTATAGATAATGCAGCTCCAACAAAATGTAGTTTGTATGAACCTGTGTTTAACTCGGTAGAATCTGAAGTGATAGATCAAGAAATTCAGAATTTATTAAAAATGGGAGCCATTGTCGAGGCAATTCCTGGACCAGATCAGTTTCTTTCATCTATTTTTGTTAGACCAAAGAAAAATGGGGAATACAGAGTTATCCTCAATTTGAAAAATTTAAATGAACATGTGGTATACCGTCATTTCAAGATGGATACTTTCGAATCTGCAGTAAATCTGGTCAAGGAAAATTGTTTTATGGCATCAATTGACATAAGACATGCCTATCATACAATTCCAATAGCAATTGAGCATCAAAAGTATTTGAGATTCAGATGGAAAGGAAAAATATTTCAATATACCTGCTTACCATTTGGTTTGTCATCAGCACCTAGAATATTCACAAAAGTTCTCAAACCAATTTTTGCTAAGCTTAGAACATTAGGTTATCTTAGTATGACCTACATTGATGATGTTCTACTGTTTGGGGATACTATTGATGAATGCAGAATGAATGTGAACATTACAAGAGAATATCTTGAGAAATTTGGTTTTGTGATTCATAGAAAGAAAAGTCAATTCGAACCTCAAAAATGTATCACATTCTTGGGAAACAAAATAAATTCTGAGAGAATGATTATTGAACTGACTGAGGAGAAGAAAGATATTATTTATGAAGAATGTAAGTGTTTAATAAATCAAGATCTAGCAAAAATAAGAACTGTAGCTCGAGTCATTGGACTGATTATTTCAAGTTTTTCAGCTTCAGAATTGGGACAATTACATTACAGATTGCTAGAAAAAGAGAAAATAAAGCATCTAAAAGAAGCTAAAGGGAATTTTGATTCATTAATGCCAATAACTATGCAAATGAAAAAAGAGCTAAATTGGTGGTGTTTCAATATTCATTCTCAAATCAGATTTATTTCTAGAGGTAATCCAGAGATTACCATTCAAACTGATGCATCCTTGTCAGGTTGGGGTGCAGTATGTACACAAGATAATATCAAAACTGGTGGAAGATGGAAAGAAGAAGAAAAATTGAATCACATAAATTATTTGGAAATGCTTGCAATTTACTTTGCTTTGAGATCTTTTGTGAATATTGTGAAAAACAAATATGTAAGAATATTATCAGATAATACTACAGCCATTAGTTATATTAATAACATGGGTGGTATTAAATCTGAAATTTGCAATAAACTCGCAGTGGAAATATGGGAATGGTGCATTAAGAGAGACATTTGGTTGAAGTGTTCTCATATTCCAGGGAAAAATAATATAGAAGCAGACAAATTATCCAGAGAGTTTAATGATCAAGTGGAATGGCAATTAGATCATGATATATTCTTACAAATTTGTTCAAAGCTAGTGTTTCCAAATATAGATTTGTTTGCATCAAGACTTAATACACAAGTTGAAGTGTTTTGCTCATGGAAACAAGATCCAGAATGTAGTTATGTTGATGCATTTTCATTGAATTGGAGAGATTTTGATTATCTTTATATTTTTCCACCTTTTAGTCTGATGGGCTTGTGCATCAAGAAGATTCAGGAAGACCGGGCAAGAGGGATTATCATTGCCCCATTATGGCCCACTCAGACTTGGTTCACAGGATTAATGAAAAGTATAGTCAAGAATCCAATTTTACTTCCGAGAAAGAAGGATCTACTTTTAAACCCTCACAAAAAAGAGGCTCATCCTTTGTGGGAAAAAATGACCTTGATTGCATGCCAAGTGTCCGGCGAACTTACAGAAACCTTGGATTTTCAAGAACAACTACCTCCATTATTATGGCATCATGGAGAACCGGTACTAAAAAACAGTATCAAACGTTCATTAAAAGATGGTTTCAGTACTGCTTTGAATGGAAAATTGATCCAATTTCACCATCTGTAAACAATATTTTGGAATTCTTGACTTTACTTTTTGATAATGGACTGAGTTACAGTTCTCTCAATACAGCTCGAGGGGCTTTGTCAGCTTTGGGCATAAAGTTAGATGGAACCAGTGTTGGATCCCATGCTCTTGTTATCAGATATATGAAAGGTGTATATAATATTAGACCAACTAAACCCAGATATTCTGGAACATGGGATGTATCCTTAGTGCTACGACTGTTGAAGAAATGGTCTCCTGTGAAGAATTTAAGTTTGAAACAGTTAACATTGAAACTTGTAATATTAATCGCTTTGACAAATGCTGCACGAGCTCAGTCAATTCATCTTATTTCTGTAAATAATATGAAAAAGTGTTTTAATGAATATATATTTGAATACTCTGGATTGCTAAAGCAATGTAGACCGGGGTATAAAATGCCTGTTGTACATATGAAAGCACACCCTCCAGATAGGAGACTTTGTATATATGTTGTGGTGAAGGAATATTTATCAAAGACAGCACCTATTAGAAATGGAGAACAATCACTTCTATTAAGTTATGTTAAACCTCATAAGGCAGTTACAAGAGACACAGTGTCTAGATGGATAAAGATGGTAATGAAACTTTCTGGTGTTAATACAGATGTATTTGGATCGCATAGTGTAAGATCTGCTTCAGTGTCAAAAGCGAAATCAGTAGATGTGCCAGTAGATGAAATTTTAAGGAAGGCTGGATGGACAAATGCTACAACATTTTCCAGATTTTACGAAAAAGACATCATAGTTGAAAATGAAAGTTTTGCATCAGGTGTACTTTCAAAGAACAATTAGAGTGGGAGACTTCTCAGTAAGTAAAATAGTATTATGATCAAGTAATTTTTCTTGTATTTTGAAACATTTGATCATAATGGGCTTTGAAGTCTCACATAATTCCGGAAGTAATTATGACGAAATAGAATTTAAAAATTTGACGAGACTTACCTTGGTTAAGTCGAAGTCAGATTGTAATTCTATGAGTCATTATAATTACTGTAGGGATTATGTGCCTCCCACCACTCCCTGCAGAATTATTCAGATATTCATAGATATCCAACCAATAATGTATAAAGTAATATAAGTAAAGTAATTATATTCTATATGATTACATTATGACCAAATGTTTTAATTTGAAAACTGAGGTTGCACATGCGTACTACTATATCTCACATAATCCCTACAGTAATTATAATGACTCATAGAATTACAATCTGACTTCGACTTAACCAAGGTAAGTCTCGTCAAATTTTTAAATTTTTCCCTATAAACATAATGATAAAGATAGTTTAATGTGAATGATTCCCTAGAAATCACTGTGTCTGAAGGAACTAATCCCACATGTTAATCAAATGAGGTAATCCTTGCATTGGAAGTATTTATCCACTAAATTTTACTTGTTGTATCTGTATATGTAACTGGAATGATCCTAGTCAATTAAGCATGTCACTCTGTTGCTAATAGCCAATTCTCAGTTTTCCGTAATTCTTTCTCTCTATATAGTTATTTTTTTTTTGAAAATTTTGTATCACATAATAAAACATTTAAAAAGCATAGCATTGACAGAGTCCCTTTTTCCCAAAATGCTCAGGGGAACCTGATTCTAGCTTACTCTCTACCTCAGTCAACGATTTACTTGAACTGTGTTATAAATCTATATTAAATGCAAGTTCTTTTTTAAATCTACTGAAATATCACACATGTCGGCTAGCATGGGCATTGGAAGTTAATGTAAATTATTGATGTATGTGCATGGACAATTATTATTTACTTTTAAATTACATTAACTTCCATTGGCACTTTGCTATCTTAATGCAGGCTGGTACTTGCTTGGACTAATTGGACCCTTTTTAGCAAGTCTACATACATAGCAAGTTCTGCTAAACGTGTACATTCTTTATAAACATGCATATTTAGATATAAATAAAGAGTGACACTCAACTTTCATTTACAAACATTTGTGAAAACATGGATTCATGATTGTGGTCTCTTATGTCAAATTACGGGTGCGTCGATTTACCCAAATGGACCCAAATGGAAACAAATGGACCCAAATGGAAACTCAAATGGACCCAAATGGAAATCAAATGGACCCAAATGGAATATAAAATACATCTATACAGTGTATTATCGTATTCTCAAATATTTACTTATTTAAAATATTGCAAATAATGAACCTAATAAAAGTAGAACATTTTAATAATTATTTTCTTATATTGTATTTTTTAAAAAAAATTACGATTTTTTTCCATTTGTAATAACTTTTGCACATAATTGAATACAAAACTGGAGTAAATAGTGTCCATGTCAGTCAGAACGGAGTGGAGAGGGGGGGGGTGCTGAGAGGACATCCCCCACCCCCCTGATTTTGCCGGTAAATATAGAATGATATAAAAAATAATTCAATTTCATGTCTCAAAATACAATGTTAGAAATAATTTATTAATTCAAATCTCAATTTTAACTGTTAGATCATTTATTTTTATCATTTTAAATAAGTAATAAAATACGATTATACATATTTAATATTCCATTTGATTTCCATTTGGGTCAATTTGATTTCCATTTGGGTCCATTTGTTTCCATTTGGGTCCATTTGGGTAAATCGACGTGCCGTCAAATTACCAATGGTCTAGCAAGATTTGTATGGCTTCTGAGTCGCGTGTGCAGTTGACTCTAATCTTAAAATTACACCATCTCCTAAACTGCTGTATGCATATTGATATTTTTGTAACTTCTTCATCTAAACGACGCTTCTTTCCTCCGAACCCCTCTGGTTCTGCTTGCACCTGTTCGCATGTCGCCATACTTGTTTACGATGATGCGGTCTCAAATGTATTCGATTCCTAACTATTTGATACCGCATCAGTTGAAAAACTATTTGATACCGCATCAGTTGAAATAAGCGCAATAAGCTCCTTTGGGATACCTGTTTTTAACCATGGCAATGTTAATTTATAATACCAGATACATCAATAATGTGATGCCTTTGAAAAGACTTATCCATAAATAAATTCAAAAGGTCGTCATTTTGAATGCGGTGTCAAATACTTAGGAGCAATATACTCATGACACCGCATGATTGTAAACAAGTATGGCGACATGTGAGCGGGACCCAGCCGAGGGGCTCTCATTCGGAGGAAAGAGGCGCCCTTTAGATGAAGAAGTTACCAAAATATCAATAGGCAAACGGCAGTTTAAAAGATGGTGTAATTTTAAGATCAAAATCAATTGCACTCGCGACACGGAAGCAATGCAAATCCTGCTAGACCATTGGTATAAATATTTGACAAAAGATACCACCATGGCCAATTGGCCATGTTAATTTTGTTATTACAAAGTTTACAAATGAATATTGACTGTCACACTTTATTGATAAGTAAATATGCATGTATATAAAGTAGGTACAATTACCACTCGGACTGACAATACATGTACTGTTCAAAAGTTAAGGTCAAAGTTTGGAATTTTTGTGTAAAAGTGAGTCAAACTCTAAGGTAAATGTCAAAAGGTCAAATTTGGTGTTACCTAAAGGTTTTGTCACATGGAATACACAGGTGAAGTATGAAAGTCATAGCTCCACTTAAAGCCATATATGGCGTAAGTACAATGAAAATTATTGAACTAAAATTAAAAGACTTATTATTTGTATCATTATACTTTCTATAAAGATAGAACTTTTCCGTAAATTACAAAATCTAAATCAATTGCGTTATAAAGATATCACAATTTAATTTGGATTCTCGGAATTTTCTCCGACTCGGAAGAAAATACAAAAGATTTAAATAACACATTACAGAGAAGATAAAATCGTATTACCGTATATTAGATGAAACGAGGTGTTCTCCATGTTCAGAATTGTATGAAAATCTTTAATTTAAATGTATCAACTATATTTCTTTACTTGATTTTGTATTTTTCAAAAATATATTTTTTTGATCAGTTACGCCATATATGGCTTTAATCAAAAGTTATGGGCAAGGTTAAAGTTTTTGTAAGGGACGGACAGACTGACGGACAGAGGAATGAGATTTAATGTCTGTTCATGTGAGTATGGTTTGGGCCTTGGATATCGGCCTGGATAGATCAGTTGGTAGAGCACATGACTAGACGCAGGGGTCGTGGGTTCGATTCCTGGTCCAGCCATATATTTTCTCCTTTCCTGTTATTGATTTGGTGCCATTGACAAACCCTGGAATTGCAGGTGAAAGTCCTGCCAGGGGTAATAGGAACTTGGGTTGTGTCTTTGAGGGCGAAGACCAATTAAGGAGGGAGGAATGTAATGGTTTGGGCAGTGGATATTGGACTGGATAGCTCTGTTGGTAGAGCACCTGACTAGAGATGCAGGGGTACCGGGTTCGATTCCCGGTCCAGCCATACATTTTCTCCTTTTCCTGTTACACATGAAAGTGGGGGACAATAAATATGACATATTGCACTGTATGCAAATTTATTGTTAAATTGGCAAATCAGAAATTCCAGGAACTTACATGTACAATGAAATGAGTTTATAGGTCCCTGGATTGACATTCACAATTTTGCTCAAATTGAGCCACCATAATTAAATGAAAAATATCATAATCATTTGATGTACTCAAAGTCATATTTTTCACTCTGGGTAGGTTTGTAAAATGCAGCAGCCACACCACAGTATTTTAAAAGTTTTATGGAAGATAATGTCTAGATTATCATTGTTTTAAGGAAATATTAAGTTGGTTTATAATTATTTTTTTTTTTTTTAGGTATAAGGCATTTCCAGAGCATGATACCAAGAGGAAAGGGAGGGGGAGAAGGCCTGCATCTACAGTGGGAAATGGGTAAAAATATATCAATCTAATTAAAATTAGATCCATAACACTCCTTTATTTAGATGTACAGAAACATAAAAAAATACAAGATTTTAAACATGGTAAAAGATTTAATTTTGATTAGAATAAATTTATAAAGATATTTAATTGAGTAGAATGTATGTTTAAAAAACCCATGTATACATACAATATGTATTAGGCCATAAAAAATTAATTTCTTGGTTATCAGGCCCTTCCTCATTTGTTCAAATGGTGCCTCATTGACCACTGTCATTGCTAATTCAAAATAAAAAAAAATAGATACAACAAATCACCTCCCTCATCATTTTTTTTAAGGTTTTGCACAATGTAAAAAGCTGCCTTATCATGTTTTGGGGGCAATAAAAAGTATTTAAAAAAAAACCAAAAACCATCCGTCTCTCATCATATTTCTTGAAAAAAAAAGGCCTGAGAACCAAAGAATTAAATTTGCATGGCCTTAGCTAAATTCAGATAGGCTGAGGGTCAGTTGGGAATTCACAATGGGCAGGAGCTTAGAGATTCTCAAATACAAATTTACTTCTAATTAGGGCTTTGCCTGACACAGAAACACAGAACAGTGAAGATGAAGATTGCGTAACATGTACCAGTAAGTACAGTGGAGCCTCATTTATCCGGACGCTTTGGTTCCCAGTCAATTTGTCCGGATATGTGAAGCATCCGGATACCTGAATCACCAGTTAAACAAGACAACATATCATTAAAAAATTCTGTTCCGATGAAAAATCGTCCGGATACTGAAGCATCCGGATATCTGGCGTCAGGATATCTGAAGGTCCACTGTATACGCACCTCTATTTATTATTACTGTAGAAGTACTTCTTTTCCTTGTGGTATTAATTTACTCTATGTACGGGGTCACAAACTTTCCGTTGAAATTTGTCTCAGTGTACGTAATATGAATGTAAGGCATATAGTGACAGTTTAAGAAATCTGTGTAATTTTCTACCCACGGATAAAACAGAAATTGAGATTCCGCAGAATTATGACCCTGTTGAAAAAAGTATGTCTACAGTATTTAAACAATTAAGAAAGAATTCCCAATTTACAATATTGTGGAATTGTTCATGGGGGACGAATGTTTGTGGCTTTTGTGGGCTACCCTGACCCACAAATTTACACCCTCATGAGCGTATATACAAATATTTGTTTTACAATTATATGTATTTATATGTTGCGAAAATGAAAAAGAGCTTGTTATCATCGAAACAATGTCCCCACCAACCAGGAAATTTTGACCCCCACAATATAGGCACCTGACGTTACTTATTTTTCTTTTAATAAATAAAAATATACCCATATCTAATAATAAACATTATTATTATGTTTGGTAATATATTTTTTTTATTAAAAGAAAAATATGTGACGCCAGGTGCCTGTGCCCATGATTCCACAGCAAGTAGTTAGCCACAGTTTCCTTAAGTATTTTTTTTATCTAGAGTTGCAATAATGTTTTGGGATAATTTGTGATTCCATTCCAATAATTTAGTAGCAGAGTCTAATATTTTGAAATAAGGAAAAATAATAATTACTGGTAATTGCCAGGGAAATCCATGCCGTTTTCAGTGTTTTGAACACTTACTAAAATGTACTGTATGTGTTCTTAAAATAGCAGGCTTCATATTTTAGAAACTTTTGTGCAGACAATGATGCACCAATTCATGAATACTGGTACCGCTAAGAAATAATTAATTTTATAAGTAGAATATACGACACAAACATGATTTCTCCAGCAACTCCAAATCCATTGATTGAGCTAAACTTTGAATACGCTAAATTATGTACACAGTCATACAGTATGTTTTAAACCACAACCATCAGGGATGGTTAAATTAACAAAATTAATGGCTTCAGGCTTACTGCTTGTAGTTTACCTGTAAATTTAACTATGAACTGGAAACTTTTCTAAAGTAAGTAGTGTTTTCTTCAGGTATATCACCCACAGAACAAGTACAGACAGAGATGGATAGCATACCATTAAAGATGGAGGGTAAGGATTTAAGGTTGTCTGAACCATACCATTAAAGATGGAGGGTAAGGGTTCAAGGTTCACTGAACCATACCATTAAAGATGGAGGGTAATGTCTTTAAACATTTTCTTCATAGAAAACCATGGGAAAACAGTAATCTCAATTCTGATTATAAAAATAGACAATCCTCAGCCCAAAATTTCTCAGTCACAAAAATGCAAGTTGGTTTTCATTTCATTTTTTTTTAATTTATTCTTTGCTCACAAATGCTACCATTTTAGTCGCAACTTAGAGCGCTGTGATAAGTAAGATAATTTTCATTATGCTGAATGTCTTCTATTTCTTTATAAATTAACATGTTAAAAGGCCTTTTTTGTCAAATATTGCTAATGCAAGGAATGCTAAAATTATAAATGGAATATTTTTAGAATAAATTTCATTTCTTTTGGGAAAATCATTGCATTAAAATTGAAAAGTTTTATCAGTGAACAGGGGGGATGTCTGAGAGGTTGATAAATTGTGATATCTACCCAAGACATTTCTCCATGACCAATGCATGTTAATACCTTGACTTTGATATCTTTTACAGTGGATGATGATATTGTAACTGAGGAACCAGAGAACACAGAGATTGAACGAGTACTAAGTCCGAGTGTGATGGTCACAGATGATAATCTGGTACCTAGACTTCTCGTTTCATGTGTTCTTGTTTAGACATGGAGCAGAAGAATATGAATGAAGCATTTCTTTGTTTTGCTAATTAGAAATGTGTAGAGTCATCTTAATTTGATAATTTTTTGTTGTTTGATTTGCAAGAAGTGCTACTGAGGTTTTCCTTTTGCTTGTCTTAAAATAGAGAAATCAAATTTAGATTACAATTTAAATTTTTTTAATTGTGTACACATACATGTATATTTATGATTCCTTTTTTTTCAGAATAAAGAAATCAAAAGTGAAGAATTGTGGACTCAGAAATTCTGTTTTTTATCAAATTGCAATCAGGTAAGGGAAGAATTAATGGTAAATGTTGGAATATGTAATCTGCAAAGAATGTATAATTAAAGTTTTCTAAAAATCTGGAGAGAAAGTACATATATGTATCTGAAAACCCAAACTCTCTAGATAGGATTCAATATATTGTTATACAATGAAGCGAATTGAAATGGTAAAATTTTCCGTTTTGATGAAATGTTCTGAGTCATGTTTTGAACGTCAATTATAACATAATGACACACCTATATTTTTGGAAACGAGAAAGAAATATTCGTCATAATGTTTTAGGACACCCCACTCTTCGCGACAAGAAACATAAGCTACACTGAAATGGAGCTTTAAAAAATTAGAAAAGAGAGTTAGAGACTCCCTGTTTCTGTTAAACACAAATTGCAACAAATATGTACATATTTTTGAACTTATCACGTCTATTGAAGTTACCACAACACATGTTTTGGTCAAACATGTGTTTACTCGGTTTTTATTTAGACCGTCAATTTGATTGGCTATTATATTTATGGAAAACCTGTTCTACAGGTATTCAAATAAACAAATTGACCGTTTTATCGATTTCTAAAGAAATGGGCGTGTCATCAGATGACAATAAACGTTCTAAAGATAGCCAAAAACGTTCCATTCGAACAGAAAATTTTACCACTTCAATGTGCTTCATTGTATGTATCTTTGAGAATATTTATTTTGAAAGGTGGAAAATATAATATTTACCTGTAAGTTCTTAATTATATGCAAATAATTTCTTATCGCATAATTTTGCTAGAATCTTTATGCGCAAAATTAAATTACCGGCTTTTGTCTTGGTGGTGCTGAAATCCATGTATTACTGAATACTCTTGATCAACCGTCCATAGGCAGATAATAATTTTTGCGATTTGATGTTAAAAAGCCATTTCGGGATTATAAGTATTTGCAAAAATAAGGAATCTATGTTTATATGTGAATGTCCATTCCATTCAAATATGTACAAATGTTTATCATCATTGTCATTTCAGCGTGTTGTACCGAGGCATTATGAAGTCAAGAGGTTAAATGAAGCAGATCTTGGAAACAAGGTAGTGAATTTTACCATAGACGAAAATCCGGCAACATTCCGAGAATCCATCCTCAGTGCATGCCCACAATTGAGGAAGGCAGGGGGATTTGAACTGTTGAGAAGGAAAAGCAAGTTTGGTTTAGAGAGCATCTCCGAGCCCCGTAGTGGATTTACCACTTCGTATTTGATGGAGGAAAACGAGCTGAACGGAATCATTTGTTATGTTAGGCCTCGAAAGAGTATTTCAGTGAAAGCCATCGAGGATGGTCCAAGGGTGAGCTATACATGTACACTTACGGAAAAATGCCTGGATGAAGAGCAAGAGCCACGTTGGGCCTTATTTGGCCCTGAGAATTTCCGAAAAATCAAAACTGCTCAGTTTAGGTTGCAAATGCAGTATTTATTACTTTGAGTTTTGGTGACCACGTATCTAATAATCCTGACGTAATTTCCCATCTAGCCAATGCATTATGACATCATGAAATGCGTCATTTTCCTCATATCCTGTGAATTCTTTTGAAAATGACCTAAAGTCGAAGCATTTTTTCAATAATTCATGTAGAGCACAACCTCTGATCTAAAATATGCAAATGCATAATAAAAGCTCTGTTTCTGAAGATTAAATAACGTTTTATTTTTTGGATCGTGGGCTGTGCTCATATTTTAATTATTTGCTGAAGGTAGTCAAATATGCGTGTTTTCTGCAAATTTCAAGAACATTGCAATTTCTCAAACCTTTTTTCCAATATCTGGATTCTCAAAACGAAATTTTATTTTAGAAAATGAAAGCACCAAGTGTCTACTTTATTTTGACATATTAAATGCGAAAGAAGGTGATATTTAATTAATTGATATAAGTACAGGGCCATTTTATGCATAAGATGGCTCTTGCTCTTTAATAGGTGTTTCAGTCAAAAGCTTTTGTTAATTGTCTTTAAAATAATTTTAATTTCAAAATGGTGGATCATTTTACAGTTTAAGAGCAAATACTGTTAACTTTTTAATTCCTGATGCAGTATAGTATTCATATTTATATACAGTGGATGTCAGATATCCGGGTACTTCATATATACTTTTCTCAGAACAGAATTTTTTTTTGTTATTCATTATTGTTTAACTGGTAATTCAGATATCCGGATGCTTCACATATGCGGACAAATTTACAAGGACCAAAGCATCCGGATAAATGAGGCTCTACTGTATTTGGCTTTGTATTCTATTTACCAACTTTTGTGAAACCAGCTTGCAGTAAATCAAATGCATTTCTAAATGTCTTCCATATACATGTATACTCACAGTCAATAGAAACGCAACACCCTAATTTTAGGGGTGAAAATTATATACGGGACATAACTATGTACCAAAAAAAGTTAGGACATCTTTTACTTTGCCAAATCGGTTATTTAAAAATCAATTGATTTTTAGCCCCCAGCAGAAATAAAAAATTAGCATTTTTAATAAAATTATTGTCAATATTTTGGGTTTTCAAGGTTTTGTACCTGTTAACATCTACTGAAATCCGGAAAAAAAACATTTTGTGATGCCTATATTTCTTCAAAGTAACTGAAAGCACAGAGAATTTTCATTGCTTATGTTGGAAATTTTCAAAATTTTGAAAAAAATACATCTATGTGTTTCAAAAGCAATATAAGTCCAAAGGTTACTACACTACACCAAAGTTCATTTAAAAAATGACAAGAATATTTATTTCGCTCAGATTAAGACATTGATAAAATCTGCTTATGTTGTACATGGCGGACTAGCACGTTTTTATTGAATCGTCGGAAGGGGGGATGTTTTAAAAGTTATGTGTTACTTTCTAAGGTCTAAAGATAACATTTAAAGTTTAAATGATGTATCATTGTTTTGTAAATTTACTTTTACATTTATGTATTCATTCTTAATCTTATCTTTAAACCTTATAAAGTAACACATGACTCTAAAACAGAATTCAATTAAAACGTGGTCCGCCATGTACAACATAAGCAGCCCTTCTACCATGCATTAAGTTTATCAATGTCTTAATCTGAGCGAAATAAATATTCTTGTCCTTTTTTAAATGCCTGTTTTTAAGATATTAAGGTCGAATTTTCTCTAACTTGGTGTAGTGTAGTAACCTTTGGACTTCTGGTCAAGGATATGTCATTCATGCTTTTGAAACACATGAGCCCGAAAAGTCGTTATGTAGTGTGTATCTTCATTTTTAGCTCTCCCATTTCTTTATTTTGAAAATCTCCAACATAAGCAATGAAAATGCGTGCTTTCAGTTACTTTGAAGAAATACAGGCATCACATCCGGAAGAGAAAGAAGGAGACTTTTTACAAGACTTATGATTAAAAAAAACCTTGAAAACCCAAAATATTGACAATAATTTTATTAAAAATGCTAATTTTTTTACAGGGGGCTATAAATCAACTTCCGGTAATGGAATGAAAATCATTCAACCGTTAAATAACTGATTTGGCAAAGTAAAAGATGTCCTAAATTTTTTCGTACATGGTTATATCCGGATTATCCCGTATAAAATTTTCACCCCTAAAATTAAGGTGTTGCGTTTCTATTGACGGTGAGTATATATCTATATCTCAACCAGATTTAGAAATATGATAAATCAGACCTACAATTTATTTGTAAAAAAAAAACAATATCCACCAAAAATACTGTTAATGCTTTTTATTCAAAACATCTTCACTATTTAATTTTCTTCTAATTTCAGAGACTACGAAATGACCTCAGTTTTGCTCAAAAAATAGAGGTCCTAAAGCTCCTAAAACAAGGCCTGAAGCAGACAGAAGTGGCCAGGCGCCTTGGTTCTTCCCAGTCCGTGATCTCCTTAATCGCTTCCAAAGAAAAGGAGATTTACTCCCATGGGAATAACTTAAATCCCAGTAGGAAACGTATACGACCCGGAAAAGCTGCAGACGTGGAGGTCGCCCTGACGTGCTGGTTTAAAAATGTTTACGTTCCTGGTAAATACATTCCCAATACTATAATAATGGAACAGGCAGAACTACAGGCTAGGAAGCTAGGGAACATGTCATTTACTCCTTCCTCGGGTTGGCTCAATAGGTGGAAACTGCGGCACAATATACCCTCAACAGCATCGGTCAAGGTGAGTTAGAACTACAGGCACGTAGCAACAGGGGGCCCCCATATACATGTAAGTGGAAATTTTAGCGAGACACAAATTTAGCAATTTGTCTTTAAAAATGGAATTTTAGTTTGAGTGAGAAGTAATTTTAGCGATATTAAAAAACTCATTAAAGAGGCCATGACAAAACACAATTCATTTTTTAGCGATACTTAATTTCAGCAATTTCAGCACCCTGGCTAATAATGCCAAAATTAAATCCACACAAAAAATTCTACTTATACGGTATTCAAGTTTGGGCAATTTCCCCAGCTTTTCCAGGAAAGGTAAAATAAAAAATTATCTGGCTACTCTCCCTTCAAAAAGGATGCTTCGTTACTGAACTAGACTTCATTTTCTGTCATCAGATATCGGGGAAGGAAGATTGAAGAAAAAAAAGTATGAATTAATGTATGATCATAAAACTCTGCTGATTATAAACTATTTTTTGAATTTTTTTTTTCCAGAAAAAACGCGATCAAACTCGGAACAAAGCGACCAATGAGGAAGAAGTTTCTCAACAGGAAGTTGAAGAAGAGGAAGTAGTTCCTGAGGATGCTGAAAGTGAGGCTGTATCTGAAGATGAGGACTCGAGATGTCAGAATGATGACTCGATATCTCAGCGAGATGGGGCCTTTTCTCACAGTGAAGACTCAAACCCTCAGTACACTGAAAAGAAAGGGGACAAGCAGAGTGAGGTAATTAAGGCTTACGTCTTATACCGTATAGCGGGTTTTCTTGGCGGGTGTAAAATTTGGCGTTTTGCCTCCTCAAAAGTATGCCAATAAGTTTGGCGTAATTTATTTTAGCGGACACAAGGTTATTAGCCCATTGCAGATAAACACTAAAAAGAATACTGAATATTTTAGCGATTGAAATTTTAGCGGGCTACCATCAAAACGCCAAAATAAGCCAAAATTAACACCCCGCTAAAATAACCCGCTATACGGTATTACTGTAAATTAAATAATGAGGAATTTTGGTGATTTCTGATTGGTCTAGACGCTCTTTCCTGAGATGTACCTCAGAGTGAGTTCACCTCAAATGAAGAATTTGGAGGTTTATTTGGCACTATTCCAACTAATTTCCATAGGGTCAAATAGTTAAATTTGACAATATTTGAGATGGCCCCCTAAGAAATCAGGGTGGTAAACATTCAATTTTTTTTATCTTAAAAAAGTACATATAACAGTAAAAATTAATTAACGAAAAGATATCAAAATCCGTAGGGCGGAAATAATTAGACTTGACCTTGTTTTGGAATACAACCCAAATTTCATAATGTTTTTGCAAGAGGAGGGGACACAAATAAAGTGTTTTTGAAAGTACTGTTTAAATAAACTTTTGAAATGGTTTGGTTCAGGAAATATTCTCTTCATTTATTTTGTATTTCTTAAGGCCGGTATACACGGTAAGATTTGTATTATAAGATTTGTATTATAATACAAAATCTTACTGTGTACGAGGGTTGTCCCGTAAAATCGTGGACAAAGCATTTTTCTCGAAAAGTAATGGGCGCACTAAGCTGAAAATTTCAGTAAATGTTTATTTATCATATTTAAGTGCATGATAAATTTTTTGATAAAATATAGGCAAAAATAAAGATTTTATTATGCTTGAATGTGCACGGGGTATTGTCCTACGGCGCACGGAGAAAAATACAAGGTTTTATCAAAGAATACACAAGTTTGAATTCGAAATAAAAGTTTTAAATACATAAGATTTGGATTAAAATTATCCTCATTCAATTCCACAATCAATTTAGTAGTCTTTGTAAAAATTTTAAGGCATTTGATTAATTTTTGGCAGTTTCTCGAGCATTTGAAATTGGAAAGTGGTAAACACAACACACGAAAAATGGTGACGTTTTATGACGTTACGGCGCACCGGAGAGCAGTTCCGTTTTAATTCGATGTTGTAATGACACCTTCAGAGACTTGAAATGACCATAGAAGAAAAAAGATTATAAAAATATCACCATATCTTAAGTAAAAAAAATGAAATAGGAGTTTTTCTTAGCGAAGTCTTTTTTGATCGAGTCCCTGGGGAGTACAAAACACGGACAAACTCCTAAATATAAATGTAACAGCAAAAGACGCTGTCTCAGTAGACCGCCGATATGAGATTTTCTATTAGTTTATTGATGGTGAGAATATTGTCCGTAACTTACTGATAAATCTTCAGAAGATCGCAAGAGGGTGCTAATTGGTTCTTCGACTGTTTATGGAGACTAAAGAATGTGTATCGATGAAATTCCTAAATTTAAGTCGGACTCATCCAACTTCATTTTCAGCAAAGATAAAACGTGACACTGTTTAAGATACTTTGACGTTATAATCCATGCGCCGTAAGGTGATACAATACATGGCATAAAATCACATAATTTGTTTATTTATGCATATTTTTATCTGAAATTTGCTGTGTATATTACTAAAATATGTACTCTAAATAATAGTGAAAATTTCAGAACGCAGTGATGTTTATTTTTTACACTAGACAACTTGTCCACGATTTAACGGGACAACCCTCGTATACACTCTTAATACAGTGTATCATAAGATTTTTCAAATCTTATAAAACTGTATTGAGAATAGAGCAATGCTCTATTTCCTAATACAAGTCCTAACTTACCTATCACTTTCAACCAATGAAATGACACTAGGGGTGATCCTATTTTATCATTACTAAAAAAACACATGGTAAATAACAACTTTTCAAGTAAAGACGTCGAAAAACTTGTGGCTTAATGGGAAATAATTTAATTCTGGTTGTAACGCTGTATTTGATTGGATAAAAAATTATTTTATATTGTATAAAATGGGTTGCCTACGTCACAATGACTTTCGTCAAAAACGTATCAATCCGCCTGACGTTACGCTCAAATTTTGTACAATTTAAAGTCATTTTTTTAGAACAATAATCTTTTTTTCTTACATCAAAAGAATGAAAATTAAATTATAAGCAATGAATTTAATAGCTACCCATTTTATAAGGTATAAACTGGGTTGGAACAGTTTACGCTTTTTTATAAACCGCTTTGCGGTTTATAAAGCGTAAACTGCCCCAACCCAGTTTACACCGTATAAAATGGATAGCTATTAAATTCATTCCTTAAGGGGAAAAGGACTTGTGGAATATATCAAGCAGTGCATAGTACGATGATAGACACTGCTATCAGAGCCTCGTCCTCCATTTTTATAACTTTGACAGACAGAGAAATATGACGAGGAAAAATACGTTCACTTGGAATATGTTGTTTATTTACAATCTTATAAGATATGTATTTATTTAGCATGAGTACAGGAAAGTATTATAATACAAAAGTATTATAATATTTGCATTATACTACAAATCTCATCATGTATACCGGCCTTTATATGCTTTTAGGTTGCAGAGAAAACAAAAGAGAAATGCAGAAGCGATGGGATCTCCACAACCAAAAATTCAGTGGAAACTCCCGAGTACCCAAGGGTAAGATGACATACTATTGTATACATGGAAAATTTTTGCCCCCATTTTATTTTTGCCCCTTCACCCTTACCTCATCTGGGCAAATTTAAAATGGGGCAGATTCAAAGAATACAGTATATTTTCTTATTAAACAATAATATGACTGTGTGAAAAAAAAATGGAGGTTGTTGACAAGGTAGGAGTATGTTGTTGAAATTTTCTTGTAATGTGGAATCATCTAGTTAATTGGGCACTATGCAGTTTTCATGGATATCAAGGGCCACTCTTACCAACAAGTTTACATCCTCATAAGTCATTACACTGTCAGCACATGGCTCTAGCACATCTTTTTGTGTGTACAAGGTATTCACGAAGTTATGTTTCTATGAATCAGTATACGTTTGATTGCACAAGAAGAACATTGTTCTTTGTTAAATGATTCCACAGTTTTTGCCTAGCCTTGTCTGTTGTATTTATCTTGTTAAGTAATTTTAAGTAATATTTATTTTATATTTTGGGGTGGGGGGGATGGTCATACCAAATGTGTAATTAAATTGTATAATATTGTCTTTTACAGCACAAGCGTAATGACCTAAGCCTAAAAGACCAAATGCGTGTTGTAGAACTTCTAGATCAGAAAGTCCCACAGACAAAAATTGCAAAACAACTAGGATGCTCGCAGTCCTTTATATCCAAACTCTCTAGCAGGAAGGACGAAGTCCGTGCACAGTTTTTGACTTCCGAGGATCTGAATCGGAGAAGGAACAGGAAGGGAAAAGCCCCAGATGTCGAGTCTGCACTGTTGGCCTGGTATCAAAGTCTCCTGGATCAGGAACCAGAAAAACAGGTCAGAGGTCAAAGGTTAAAGGTTTATTTTCTTTTCCTACAGGTCAGGTTGTTATTCATTTGTTATCGTTAATGTCAAAGTGTACAGGACTACATGTAGGAACCAGTGAAAAAAAACAGGTCAGAGGTCAAAGGTTTTTTCCTTTGTAAATGTTGATATCAAATCGTACTGTAACAGAAACTAACAAAACAGGTCAAAGGTTAAAGGTATTACCTTTTAATTGATGAACATTGATCATGGAATTATAATTCACTGACTCATAATCAGACTGGTTCAAATCTTGACAATCCAGATTTTGTAAACACTAGATAATACATTAGATATGTATACTGTATACAGGCTTCATTTTGCCTTGTATTATTTTCACCCTTTAACATTTGCAAACAATTTATCCTTTTTTAAATTTGCCCAGTTGACAAAGTTTTGTTTCAGAAATTATACCACACTTTTTATAAAATTGTTGTTTTAAATTTGCCCAAATGAGGGAAGGGCAAAAGGGGCAAAAAATTTAATGGGGGCAAAAATTTCCCTGTATACAGTACTTCATCTCAGCAAGATGTCATATGGAGTAAAAATTTTGATCTTGTGTCTCGAAATCTCAGCTCAGGGTCACAATTTGGGCTTTTTTGCCCTGGCTTTAACAGCTTGTTTCAATCAATACGGGCTGACATCCTTTGTCATCCTCGCTGTATATCTAATAGATACTATGTTTCCATACAGATATCAAGGAAGATGTTTAAGGACCAAGCTAAAAAACTGGCTGATGAGTTTGGAATTCCACATTTTCCTGCAAGCGATTCATGGCTTTACAGGTGGAAATGCAAGCATAAATTAGTGGATCCGCCTTTCTTGCAGGTAAGATTCACCTCTCAAGAAGGTAAGATCCCCCTCTCAAGAAGATAAGATCAACCTCTCAAGAAGGTAAGATCCGCCTCAGAAGAAAGTTAGATCTCAATATCAAGAAGGTAAGATTCGCCTCTTTAGAAGGTAAGATCAGCCTCACAAGAAGGTAAGATCCACCTCACAAGAAGGTAAGATCCCCCTCTCAAGAAGGTAAGATCCACCTCACAAGAAGGTAAGATCCACCTCACAAGAAGGTAAGATCCCTCTCTCAAGAAGGTAAGATCCCTCTTTCAGGAAGATAAGATCCACCTCACTAGAAGGTAAGATACCCCTCACAAGAAGGTAAGATCCACCTCTCAAGAAGGTAAGATACAGTTCACAAGCTTTATTTCTTTTTAATATATGGAATGATCAAACCTGAAGGAGTGATCTATGTTGCTCTTCATAAATGCTACATATTATTTGACATCACAACAGCAGCATTTCTTTTCTACCTGTTGACTTTTGCACATGTGATATACATGTAACGTTCATGGAATATGTTTACAATTTGCAAGTCAGTTACTGTAAACTAATCTATTATTTTTTTCATATTTCATTCTCAATTCATCATTTTGCAATCAATCCACAACAATTTTCATGGCCATGAAATAATCCACAACAAAATAGATGGTTCAGGGCGATAAAAAAATTTGCCAAATATATATTTCCAAGTGTTACTTCTATTAAAGTTGAGACAACTATCAAATTACTGTAATAGAATATGTGTATAGGGCTGTCACGGTTCCAAAATTTTTTGGGTCAAGTGGGTTCTTATTGTTTTAGGTTCAGGTTTTTCAGTTTGGGTCTATAAAAGAATAAAAGCTAATGACTTGAATTATATTCAACACAAATTTTATATATAATTTTTAAAATCTAAAAAACAGAAACATATTAATGACTGGTTTAAATAAGTTAAGACTGATAAACCTTCTGTTTTAGACGCTATTTTTATGGTAAAAGAAATAATACACAGCAAAATAGATGAGATTTTGGAAATAAAAACCAAACCCGACCTGAATTAATTGTTCCAATTTCACTTCTATTACAATTGAGACAACTCTATCAAATCACTAATAGTATACCTTCAGAGTAAAATGCTATGACCGTACAAATAGAATCTAATATATAAAACAGTCACTTTCATTTCCAGAAAAAAACAAATTCTCCTGAGAAAAATAACCCAACACAAGAAAATGTCAATGTGGAGATGGAAAATTCTATATCTGGATCACTAGATCAACGTTCAGAAGAAGAAGAAGACCAGGAGGATGTGACAAGCGAGGGCATTGTGTCCAGTGAACTGTGTGGTGAAAACAATATCTCAGTGATTCAAGAGCAACAGCTGTGTCAGAATGTGGAACCCAGTGTTGAGGCTTCTGCTATCCAACCTGAAAAAGATACATCAGGATCATCTACCACAAATATTCCTGATTCTGAAATGACTGAGCAGGTTGAAACTCATAATCTTTTAGGAACATCAGAAAAAGATACAAGTACATCGTCTGTATCCAATATTCCAGGGACAAAGTCACAGGAGAGTGATGCTGGGACTACTACACTGGACAAACAGTTAGAGACTCAGAAGTTGTTGGCCACAGCTTTCTTGCATTCACTCAACATACTTGGACCACAGACTTCTGCTCAAGGCAGTGGCTCAGTTGTTCCACAGCTTAGTGGATCAGCTCAGGAGATGATGAGGAACATATTGGAGCTATGTCAGACTCCAACACAAAATCCTTCTACTCCAACCAAAAGCCAAGCAGAGGAACCAAAGTCTGGAGAAAGCTTGGTGTCTCCCTCAGGGGTAAATACCAGTATGACAACTCCAAAACCATCAACAGTTGTATTAGGTAATCAGAACTGTGATGCACATGGAAGTGAAATAGCTGTTGGTCAACTTGGGAAGCTTTCACAGACTAAAATATCAGATTCGGCATTTTTGAATGCTGGTACGTCTTCCATTGCACAGAGTTCATCATCATCCTCATCCAAAGCTGTTTCCAGCACTATATCTAAAGAACAGGCAAACAATTCTGTGATAGCTTCTGTGCCTTCAGAAGTGCCTGAGGTAGCAGCATCATCCACCAATGTTTCAAATACATGTCGTTCTAGTATGAATCAAACAATAGGGACTGTATCTACTAAGTTGACAAAGACTCCCAAAAAACAAACCTCAGCCTCTAAAAGCTGTAGTACCCCATCAAAGTCCAAATCAAAAGTGAAGGGAAAATCTACACCTTCATCCAATGTGCCTGAAGAGCCAATGACTCCAAGATACAGTACACGTAAAAGGACCGCCAACAAGATTGTACAGAAACTAGCTGAGGAGGAGAATGAGTCAGACATGGCTGACGTGAACGATGACAGTGATAATGATCCCAACTGGGAGGAAACAGAGAAAAAGAAAAAAGTAAGTCCTCATGTGTGGGTGTCCTGTGTATGAGAGAGTGGAAGATAGAGAGAGAGAGAGAGAGAGAGAGAGAGAGAGAGAGTACTAAATTTCGGATTAAATGCTATGTATTGTGTTGTTTAAGATTAGAGGTGGTGTATTTTTCCACAGTTTAATATCCTTTTGAATCTGCATAGGACAATCCTATCTAGATTTTAGTGTATATAAAATCATCTATAAAAACTTCAGTGGACTTTGAGAAATTTAAAAATAAAAAAGGAATTAATATAAGTATTTATTTTTTTTAATGCAGTCATCCCACAGCCACAGGATTTCCAGAGAGGTGAGATTTAATTGTTTATTGCTAACAACAAGGGAAAATTCATTTGTAAATTTCTACTTAATATTGTTAAGTAAACTTCAAATTACAGAAATTTAAGGAATTCTGTGCAAAAAATTTGTTGATCTTTTTTCTAGGAGTCCGACTCGGATGTTTCAATGGATTCTGATAATTTTTTTGATTCTGAGGAAGATGATGAAGCTTTTGATGATGATGTTGTTGATGAAAAAGGGCAGGAAGATTCTGCACCTTCATTGGATGGGCCTTACACTAACGATTTCAAACGAAAAATAATCTTGTATGCTGAAAAACATGGCAACAACCAAACTGCTGTTAGATTTCATGTTGACAAGGAATTGGTTTGGAATTGGAGGGAAGAGAAGAACACGATATTTTCTGTGAAAGGATCCTCAGCAAATGATGTTCACATAGCCGGGTCAGAGGTAAACAACACAGAACAACAAATATGGCCACCTATAAAAAACTGTTTGGTTGTGCTCTCCCAATAGACTAGCTTGAAATGCTTCATCTCAAAATTGTTTTACACCTCCATGGAAAATTTATCTATGCATTCTAGTAAAAAGATTGTGAAATTTCGGCATTTAAATTGAAATTTTTTGAAGGGGGGGGGGGGCATTTACCACATATCTGTAACCTCCCTAATATTTTCATCCTTAGTGGGGAGAGGGGAGAGCATGTGTCCTCTTCAAAAGGAGCTACAATGTACCTTAAATCTAGAAATTTTTGATGTTATAAATTTTTATTAAATTTGTGAGTTCATTGCATTCGCAAAAATATTTTTCTTAAAAATAAATTACCAATAAGAAAATGTAAACAAAGCAGTGGTCATTCGCAAAATTAATCAACAGTATTTTGACCCAAATTCGCAAAATAAAATCGACGTAAAATTTTCCAGATTTACGGTATTTGTTATAATTTTAAGATATTTTCTCTTCAACCGAATATTGCTTAAGTCCATTACCTGACAGTCCTTTAAAATTGACTCAAATATTAGACCATATAAAGAGATATAGTGGGATGCACATCACTCTAAACATTTTTATCTCAAGATTTAAAAAATCCATAACAATATCTTTTGATCCGCCTGTACATGCGTTCTTGTACCTTCACGGACATTTAAACAAAAGTTCATTGACGAGGAACAAATGAGAAGAAGCCTTGGGATTACTCAGGTGAGCATTAATTTAGGTCTTATATTCAATTTAAAAAATCCAAATTTTTAGCTCACCTGAGCCAAAGGCCTGAGTGACCTTTTCTGATCAAATTGTTCATTCTCCT